GAGCCTGAGGAGAGGACGTTGTTTGCCTGGTTGGCATTGCTGGTGTCAAAACTGTCCGCGGCAAAACGCCAGGGCCTAACCGTGTGCGAAAGAGCATCCGGCCAGAACCCTTTGTCACCGACTGTGTTCTCATCAGCTGCCTCGACGGTCACCCGTGCGTAGGCAGTTCTGAAGTGCTTGGATGCAAATATGACACCTTCCTGAATCTGCACTCCTCGGGCAGAGCACCATTCAGCAATTGATGATGCGGAGCAGTGTGGCTGCACGTTGCCAACGTAAAACACTTTGCGTTTGGCCCGGGGTGATGCCGTGAGGTCTACTGCCGGCTCGCTATCACGAGCCGGCTTGGTGTAGCGGGATGTTTCCACCCGCCTTGTTATGCTTTGAGCTAGCTGGGACTGACTACTAGTATCTGCCGCGTGCCTTTGTCTCTGGGCGGCTCGAGTGCGTCTGCCCTGGTGTTCCTGCCATTCATGTACTTGTTGTTCAGTATCGGTGGACCTACGGGATGCATCCAGGCCTGCTGCGGGGCTGGAGCTACGACTTGGAGTAGTGCTGGACCTACGGGATGCATGCACGCCTGCTGCGGGGCTGGAACTACGACTTGTAGTAGTGTTGGGTTGTGGCACACGCGTTTCTCCTGGCAGGCTGCCACTGCCGGCGTGTGTACCGTACGTTTGTACAGACCTGCCCGTTGTGGTGCTGAGCCTCGCACGTGCACTTGCAGTTTGTGTGGCGGTTCCTAGTACTACGTCGCTGTACTGGTGTGGCATGGCGTGCTGTGTGTGTACGCTAGTATCTCGTAGGTCAGCCATTTCCCGCCTCAGCTGTTGAATTTCAAGCTTCAAGGAAGCAATTTCATCATCTCTTCCCACCCTAATTGCCACTATTTCTTTATTCAGGTCCATTATTGTCGAGGACAATGCGGCCAAAGCAGTCGTGACATGTCCTATACCGGTCATACCTTCCAGGATGGGGTGGGACCCAATCCCCTCCTTCCGGAGCGCTCCCACCAGGTCGGGCCGTGAGAAGGAGTCCGCTTTCGGGATGCCAGTCCGGGTGGCCAGGTTTTGTAGACAGTCGAACGTCAGAAGGGCCAGGTCGACATGCTCATTGGTGGCCATAGTCCGCAGTACAAGTCACAGCTCCTGTAGGTTACAGTTACAGACTCGGAAAGGCTGATAGGAGCGGAGCTCCTAAAACTGCATCCGCACTCGAAAAATTCAAAAAGGTTCGATCTTCTCGCACATATTTGGGAATATAGTGGACTTTCGTATAAAAAAATAATAATAACGAAAAGGTGAGGATGCGTACTGGAGGAGACGAGCAGGCGGCGATACCGGAAGTGACAACGAGCGTAAGTCACCGGGGAGGAAGCGTGGAAGACCACCACGAAAGCCACTGATCCACACAACGGAAAAATCAGACACCGGACGAGTGACCAGGTGGTGTGGTGGAAGGGACGAGTCAGGACCTGCGGCATCGGAAGTGACTGCAAGGCGACTGCCCAGTGGAAAGGACGGGTAAAGAGCTGCGACATTGGAGGTGACGAAAAAGACGCAACATTCCAATGGTCAGCAATCGGCTATCAAGAGTCATCTGTCCGTTAGTGATAGTTGTCGTGAGTTGTACAGAGATGATGTTTTCTCAGTTTTGGCCCTTGGCAGATCTGTCTTACATTAATTTTGTCTGTTTTGGAAGCGTTATATATCCGTAAGTTGTACCCTGAACTATGTGTTCAGAAGGAAAATGTTTTGTCACTGCAGTTGTTTGGCGCTAATCCTCGTGAAGGTGTCAGGAATGTTTCTTCTCACTGATGTTTTCATTATGTTTTAGTCATTTCTTCACCGGTGCACCCTGTTGTTGACCTGTTTTTGCTGAATTCAATTTGTTCCACACGTATAGCGTGAGGTTCTTGATTTATGCTTTTGCTGTAGCTCTATAAATTGCTGTATTTTGATATTTTTCCATTATTCCCTGTACTTACCCATGATGAGAAGGGAACGAAAACGTTCGGTTACCAAATTGGCTTACTTGACTGTGTGGATATTATTATTATTATTATTATTATTATTTATTAAGAAAGGTTTCCTCCCCACACCGGAGCTCGCGCTATTCCGCCGACTTTACTTGACACTTGACTGACTCACGACTGCGGAATAGCGCGAGCTCCGGTGTGGGGAGCAAACCTTTCTTACAAAATCATCGCCGAAGTCGCAACCACTACTTCGTATTATTATTTATTCTTGTTTTTATGAAGAAAGGAAAAGGACAAAATGTTACGAGTTATGACAAACTGTCCACCAACGTAACTAGATCTTATACAGTCAGCGAGTGCGACAAAATGACACAAAACTGACAAGGAGTACTACTGAGACATTCGGCGACCTGACACCTAGCCTGACACCTGACACGAGTTTGTCATAACTCGTAACATTTTGTCCTTTTCCTTTCTTCATACAAGTAATAACTATAATTATTGGCTCACCATCCGAGTTAAACTTTATTCTTGTTTTACTAGGGAATTCCCAACAGGCGACGACGCCTTTTTACAGGGAACCCTAGGAACATTTTGCTAGATGCGTGAAATTCAGCTGGTGACCTAGGCGTACGGCAAGCCGGTGGCAGTGCATTCCACCTATCAGCACCTAAGTAAGAAATTGCACCGAAACCAAATCGGGTGTTAATTAGCACGGGGAAGAACAAGAGCAGCAGAAACTTGTCCACGAGTGGTGGCTGCAGTGTGGGGACCATTTGCTCGCAAAGTAAAGCGATCACACAAAAGGGAGCTAGCCAGTCCATTCAGGCAGCGATAAACAAGTACATAAGTTTTATAACATGGAAGAAAGAAGTTTTATAGTTAAGGCTTTGCTCGAGGGTATACAAGTTTGTGTGTATATGGAAGGTTATATATTATCATCTGCGAAGAGTTTGTTAGATGAATGCCTGAAGCATTGTGGTGCATCGCGGATGTTTATACAAAAGAGCAGTGGCCCAAGGACAGAGCCTTGAGGGACGCCTCTTGTGCATGGACAGGCCAGTGCCTGTCCTACTCGAACTCTCTGAACGCGGTTTGTTAGGTAGCTTGCAAACCATGCATGGCGGTGCCAGCTATCCCCACATTCTTCAGTTCATCGATTAGGCCTTGATGGTTCACTCTGTCAAATGCTTTTCTCATGTCGGCTTGCTATACTTATTTCTGTTTCCATCGCTTGACAGTGTGTACAAAAATAATGCCACGTGGCCACCTCAGCTCGTCCTCAACTCGTTGCCTTATAAAATTAGGCACCCTTATGGAGTGGTGTTTGCGCTCATTATAGCCTATGTACAAATATGTCCTGACCAATTAATTGTACTGGTGACCTACCCGGCCTTTCCGCTCTGGCCCACTGTTGTTCCATATTCAGTCGCCGCCGAGTGGCGCCGACGCCGCGAAAGACACAACGAGATCCGCGACATCATTCTCTGCTAACTTGCTGAAGCGTGTGGCCAAGAGTCCATAACCCAGGTTATGGACTCTTGGTGTGGCCCATAGCGTTGCAGTGGAACCGCATCTGCAGCAGGTGACCGGAGAGCAGTTTCGCTATCGAACGCCCATTCGCACCGATCAAGCACGTCTGGATGTCGCTACAAGTGGCCTATGGGGTGGCCGGTTTGAGCGCACCTACAATGCTACATCGATGTGCGAGTTTTTAACCCACATGCGCCATCAAACCGTGCCACCTCAATTGGTGAAGTAAAATAAAAGTCAACAACAACAACAACCTCAATTCCTTCCTGCTACACAAAGCATGAGAAGGAGAAGAGAAGGAGCTACGAGCAGCGCATTTGCGAGATTGAGCACTCGTCATTAAATTTGTCCCCCGTTATTTTTTTTTTTCGACCACTGGCGGCATGGGCAAGCACGCGCGGAGGCTCTGTACAAGCGTATCGCACTGTTGCTGTCAAACCTTATTGCAAGACCGGTGATCCGTACAGCTGGTTGATGTCCTGGCTGAGGTGTAAGCTCTCCTTCGCACTGCTCCGCTCCAACGTTGTGTGTCCGCGCGGATGCCGTCACCTCAGAATGCAGATGGACTCGCCACCTGTTTTGGCTGTTGCTGAGGCTTGCATTCGCTCCTAAGTACGCTCGTACTGTGGTATGTTTTGAGCGCTTTTGGGTGTTATCCTTTTCGTTCTTTTCTTCATTTTGCCCTAAATTATCATCTCTTATGGCCTTCCTGTACATGTGTACGCTCTCAATTGCAATAATAATGTTCTGTTTGGGAAAAGGGCTGGGCGTGCTGACGCACACGGCGTACAACGTATCCCATTAATTTTTACATACCGATATGGGAACTCGGGCAGGGCGCGATCAACGTTTCTGACTCAGCAATAACGCCAAAAAAGGAATTCGGGCCTTGTCCGTATATACCATACCATAATACCAAGAGTAGATAAACAAGAGTGTGCAACTCCGGATCTCTCCTGCACAATCTGCACATACCCCCGCCCACGGCGGAATTTTTTGTTGACGTCACCTTTTTTCAGAGAAATGCGCAGTTTGCCGCAGAGCAGTGTGAGAGCACGTGCTGGACACCGACCTTGTAGTTTAAAGCCCGGCCAAATGGGCCAAGAGCACGAGGGAAAACTTTCCGAAAGACTCGCAGCGCGTGCGTCGTCGAAAAGATTACGTCAACAAAAAATTCCGCCGTGGGCCAACCCATCCGCGAGTTGCACACTCTTGTTTATCTACTCTTGATAATACCATAGTGTAGTTATGATACTCCCGGTCTAAGAACTCTTCACACCGGTATAGAGGTTATGCGATACACGTCATACAGTACGTTTGCCACCCCAAATTCTTCTATATACATGTAAGGGGTTTCTGTACCCGCTTTGGGCATTTTGCCACCCCAACTGGCTCCTATATATGGCGGATTTGACGTTATCGCATAACCTCTATTGCAAGAGGCTGAAGACGCATTGCAACATTCTATTACTAAACTGCCATAAATCTAGCTCTCGCCTTGCCTTCTCCAGCAGATCATAGCGAAACAACCACTTGAAGGGTGGAAGTAACATCTTTGTTACCACGAAGAGCGAAGACACTACCGGCTTCTTCTCGTTTTCAAGCATTACGATTGCAGAACAACACGAGCGAATATCCGATCCTCGTTCCCGTGTGTACAGCCTTCAATCTCGAGGCACAAGCACAAAGAAGCGTCTCTTTAGTTCAGGTAAGCCATTAAGGAACGTCCAATCGATAGCAGCAACTATGTGTAGCTTGATGTTGATGGTTTTTTTTACATCGAATTGGTGATTTGACTTCATTTGTGTTTCGCATCAGAAGCACCAACATATGCGCCAACAGTGAATCCGTTCAATCTTTGTTGTTTCGCATATCAGTCTATGTTTTGTTTTTTGTTTTTTTTTTAGATTAGAAACTTCCCTATTTCATGTACATGTAGATCACTGTGGCAGCAAGTGTGCCTGGGATGCATGTGTGTGTGTGTTGTGTGCTGCTGTGTGTGTGTGTTTGTTGTGTGTGTGTGTTTGTTGTGTGTGTGTGTTTGTTGTGTGTGTGTGTTTGTTTGTTATTGTGTGTGTGTGTGTGTGCACACGTGTGTGTATTTGTTGTTATGTGTGGGTTTGTTTTGGTGGTGGCAGCATGTGGATGTGGTGGCGTTTACTAGTACCCTTGTTTATTTTGAGACTTGAAGTAAAATCAACCAATAACTTGCCTGCTGCCCACGTGGGTACTTCTGTGGTTTGGTCTGTGACTTTTATTGTCTGTTCCAATCTGGTAGTTATCGGAGACAATGGCATTCCAACTTGCAATTCTTTTCGCTGTCCTTGGCTTAGCCTTGGCTTGTAAGTCTAGTTGTTTGTATTCATAGTTCTGTTAGGTGTCTTCTCCCGTACATTGCTTCTTTCCGTATCCTTTTCCTACCGGCCGGCATGCACCCCGTACTGGCCTTTTGTGCGGTTGGCAAGCGCCCGCAATTGCCATAGCAACCAAGGTCATATACCTAGGCAGAGAAAGAGAGAGAGAGAGAGAGAGAGAGAGAGAGAGAGAGAGAGAGAGAGAGAGAGAGAGAGAGAGAGAGAGAGAGAGAGAGAGAGAGAGAAGAGAGAGAGAGAGAGAGAGAAAGAGAGAAAGAGAGAAAGAGAGAAAGAGAGAGAGAGAGAGAGACAGAGAGAGAGAAAGGGAGAGAGAGAGGTGCAGAGGGAGAAATAGAGAGCAGCTGTTTTTGTAGGCTGACAAACACAGAGCAGGTAGTAGTAATGACCAGAAGCAACTACCACCCTGCCCTCTGATGTGTTAATGTGTTGAAGGTCATTATACTGATATCGCTGTGCAATCAAGTATTCTGTACAATCAACTTCTAAGGAATCAGATCTTCTGGTTTTCTCAGCCATGACCAACTTTCGCTATCCCCAGAGCAACGATTGCCGTGAAAATGATTGAAAATCTCACTCAGTAGCCTGTCGAGTTTGTGCCCAGTTATAGCACTTTCTGACTGCTTATTGTTTTGCTATAGTGGTGGGCATGCTTCATAACTCGTACCCTTTCTGTCTTCCCTTCAATTTAAAATGAAAGAAAGGTTTGGACTCAGATGGAGAGCCAAGGATATAATTTATGGAAAAAAAGGAATCAAGTGGAGTTAGTGGACATTATAACGTAACTGGTAGTTCCTTGGTCCTTTTTCTTTTCTACGAAAGAAATTTTCGTGCTTTTTCCCTTCTTTTGACATTACAGCGGCGTCTTGGAATGATTGTGATGATGGGAAAACACAAATTTATACCAGCCAGGCGATCTCTGACTGGATAGGTACGGAGAAACATTGTCAAACAAAGGGTGCTCACCTTATCAGCCATGAACAGGCTCAAGCGTGCCACAGACACATCACCAACCAGACATATGCCTACCCGGACGGGAGATATGTTAACATCGGCTCCACAAGATTGGTCGATGCACCACACTTCCGTGCTGTTGGCAACAACTTGAAGGTTGATAACTTTCTTCCTGTCCATATCGCTGAGCCTTATTTTAAAAGATACAACGTGTTAAGCTGTGCAAAATCGACAGTGACTGGCAATAGGAAGTCTTCTGTGTATTGCCAACTCGATGACCTCACCTGGTGGCACGGAGGACCAGAACGGTATGCGCCAGGTCCAACCCATTTCCCCATGGTATGCGCCCGCAAGAAAGGTAAGATCTAGGTCAGGAGTCAGGGTCGTGATTGCTTGTTTCACACATTCAGCTGGTGCCGACAGTCCTGGACTATTGCTGTTCCATTCCTAGCAACTTAACTTCTCCGACTTGCTCACAGATTTAGTATAGTATAGAATTTATTCATATTTCTCTAGGGCAGTCCACACAGACCTATGGTCTCCTTACGGGGTACCCTAGCAAATCTAGGATTGTGATACGAAATTGACTTGGTGAAGCAGCGAGCCGGACCGATGCCGGAACTGAGTTCCAGCGGTCAGCGGCTAAATAAGAAAGAGAGGAATAACCAAATCGGGAGGAGGCTCGTGCCAGTACAAGTCTTGTGCAGGTGCGGCTACGTGCCTCAGAATTGGCACGAAGGCAGAACAGGCGGTTTGATTACTAGTCAACGTATTTCCGCCCATACAAGCGCATGGGCTTGGGTCCTGACACAAGCCACCTACCAAATATGAGGGCATGTGCTTAGATGTGAAGACTATTGGTGAAAGCACCGGGGAGCTGAATATTATACTACTAAGCATTGTGAGAATACCATTGTTTAAAAAAAAAAAATTCACGGTTCGCGTGAGACTCGGCTGGAAGCTGAGTTTTCCGCATCCGCCGTGGGAACGCCACCACCCTCTAGGATCAAAGGCGTTTAGGCGCTGCATCTGCGCCTTTGATCCTACCATTGTTTAGGACACAGACAAACCTTAATCCACCCTTTTAATCCACCCATTTTCAATCCACCCATTTTTAATCCACCCATTTTTAATCCACCCATTTTTAATCCATCTTTTTACATTCCAAGTGTAAATACCACAGGGAACCTAAGAACCTAAGATGGAGGGAAATCAATAAGATGGCCTGGCCCACCTTTAGCTGGTGTTTTCCGTGCAGGGTATCTTGGAATGCTTCGCTGTTTACCTTTGTGCATCAGGGGAGAGCCCCGTCAACTCCACTTGTGTCGCTAACGGACAGACCGGCATCTACCTCTACCACACGATTGCCTTCGGTTTCGAGCATGCTCTAGAGGCCTGTAAACTGCACGGTGGCCGACCTATTCTCTCCTTGGGCGACGAGAGAGCATGCACAGTCAAGCTCCTGACCGAATCCACAATCCTGCGTGATAACGATGTGAGCGGCGTGGAACTGTTCACCAATGATACAACCCTCGAGTCGGGAAAGAGGTTCTGTCAGTACTTCAAGGTCTCCACCAACACCGTGGTCAGATACGAATGCAACTTGAACAAGCCAGTGGTTTGCGTCAGCTGTAAGTTTTATATTAACTTTTTTTTACAAAAACACACACACATTATTTGACGGCGCAGAGCAGCAAGGCAGTGATGACACATATTATAGAATGGCAGGAATGTGGAAAGGCAGGGAGTACTGTCAATTCACAAGGGCATGCTCGTGCATGCGTGCGTGCGAGGTTGATATTTTCGCCACCTTTGGTCAGTTCTGAAAGCTGCGCCAGCCTCAAACAGTGCAATCCATACGATCCAAAGCATATTTTAATCATGGAGTAATTTTCCTGATGACAAGAATGGCTTATGGCTCAGATGGGGACCTGTGATGGGGGGGGGGGGGGGTGGGACCTGTGATTGGGGGTGACATGTGACGGGGTGGGGGTGTGGGTGTGTGGGACCTGTGATGGGGGGGGGGTGGGGGGGGGGGGACCTGTGATGGGAGGGGGGGACCTGTGATGGGAGGGGGGGGACCTGGGATGGGAAACTGAATGATGAACCTTATAACACTGGACTCAGTTAAAAAAAAAGAAAGAGCCTGGTGGATCATACCACAATTCTCCTGACACCTCAAGCTGGGAAAACCCGCCGCACTCTTGGTGAAATAAACCCCTTGTGCAGCAGCCCAAATTGGCGGGGGAACTATCTGCCAGTGCCTATTCATGCTGGGCTGCATGCAGATAAAATGAATGACGACCACCATGCTCCCTGTTTGCGTGTGGTGCAAGCATGTTGTGTTCTGCTGGTTTATGTTCTCGCACTGCAGCTAAGGCACCAAGCGCCGATAGTGGAGCATTGCCAGAACCGTCCCTTGGAGTGGAAGAAGGTATGTCACTCGTGAAAATACATGCGAAGAAAGGTGTCAGTGCTTCGTTGCAGGGGTAACTCACCCGGCCTACTGTGATAAGATTTATGCAGCACCTAACAAAGGTTCTTCACTGAGAATCACTTTGCATTCCACCCAATTTTCGGGCATGGCCTGGCCCAGCATTGGGGTAAAAGGGGAGCAGGAGAAGCAGAATCCACTCCAGGAAGACGTCTTGCTCCATTTTCCACACTAGTTTGTCTTACGTAACTATTCTCTGTGTAGAATTCGAGCGCGAAGTGCAGACTGCACATATCTAGTCTAAATGTATATGCAACATACTTCCAGTCTTGGTGAAATCCCTTGTGTCGCAAACCAAGCTGCCCGGGGAACTATCTACCATTGCCGATTCCCGGGCTGCGCGGAGATAAAATGGATGACGATATGCCGTGCTCTTGTTTGCATGCGGTGCTGCAAGCACATTGTGTTTCACTGGTCCTTTTCTCTCTCCACAGATGCGGCACCAAGCACCGATAGTGAAGCGCCCATAGCAGAAGAAGGTATATTACTCGTGACGCACAGGCAAATGGATGTGTCTGTGCTTGACTATCGTTGTAGGGGGAACTCAGTTATCACAAGCTCTAATTTGACACAGGGGCATTGCACACGGTATGGTCACTACGGTATTGACCGTACCACTCTTTGCCCCAAGTACCCCGTGATACAATAAAATGCACTGATTTGGGCTCTGAATTTCCAAAATGTTTGGCTCAGCCACACTTCCCTCACGAGTAAATTGTACAGTTCAGATGACTGACCGTACCACGCTAAAATACATTCCGACATCCCCTGTGACATGCTTATTCAACTTCAACACACAGCCTCACACACAGGCCACAGTCTCTTCACTACTTCACTTCACATTTCACCAAGTTTTCGGGCCCGGCCACTGGCGTGAAACTTCACTCCAGAAAGTCGTCTTACCTCATTTTCAACACTTGCTTTTCTTTCGTAAAATTTGCTCTTGGTAGACTTCTAGCACGAAGTGCAGGATGCAGATACCTAGTCTAAATATATATGCACTGTGTGCTTATTTCTTCTCATTTTTCAAGTATCTCAATCCCAAGGCACAAGCGCAAAGGGGCCTCTCTTTAGTTCAGGTAAGCCGATAAGGAACGTCCAATCAATAGCAGTAAATCTGTGTCGCTTGATGTCGGGTTATTTTTTATTGAATTGATTATGTTGCTTCATTTGCGCTTCGCATCCCAAGCACCAACATATGCGCCAACAGTGAATTGGTTAGCTTACCTTTGTTGTTTTGCATAGCAGTCAGTTGTTTATTTTTTTAGATTAGAAACTTGTGTCGATTTTCCAGAAGCTGAAAAAGGAGCCTCGAGCACGAAGTGCAGATTACAGACACCGATTCTAAATATACATGCGATGTGTGCTTATCCTGCTAGCTAATGCAGATTACCGTAAAGTACCGTTGATCTGACCCTCTCTATTTCCCGCCCCCTGTCGATTTTCTACCTGTGAAGCGACTTCGGCGTATACAACGAAATACGATGTGGGACCGACGCATGCACTGCTGTACACAATACGTGCCAGTCCAGGATGAAAATGTGCACAATCCAGCACATCGCGTCTGATCTTCCACGTTGGTGGACATTGTACTGGACTTGACAGCCTTGATCTAATCCCCGCCCCCCTGCTGAAAACCCAGCTGGGAAGCGACATGGCGTGGGGGGGGGGATCAACGGTACTTTGCGGTACTTGTTATACTGGTTTTTGCATACTATATATCACGTTGTTCTCGGTGTGCCTGTAATTTCAGTAGAGGAACCTGGCACCTGAATTTAAATGCCACCTATCAAAAGGCTACAGATCATACTGTATGTGAAGGCAATGCGTGTCACGTAATTCTACATTACACCTGAACTCTGGCTGATCCCTGGCACCGAAATTCTAGTACAGTAGATATCGGTTATAACGTGCCCTTCTGATTTTTCACATTTTATCACTATAACCGGTATATCACTACAGGCGATTTTCAACTGCGCGTCATACATACACGTTATACACGTGTGGGTACTCGATCGCGCTAATGTAGCGTACTGATACGTGATGGATGCTACTGCACCTTCTCCAGTCTAGAGTGAAGAACGTCTTGGCCCAAAGGCATCATCCAGGAAGCACCAGACCAGAATACCCTATGAAAACACGCATGTGGCTCCAAATCGAGACATCAATGCCTCACACTCGTGTGTTGCTATCACTATAGACGATAATTTTTCTGCACAAATAGGTGTTTTGAATGGTCATTCTGTATCCTTATAGCCGATTTATCGCTATATACGATATATTGGTTATAATGATAATTTGACTGGCTTTTTCTTGTTTTGCTTTTGATATTTTCATTTTGTATCAATATAGCCGGTTTATCACTATGTCCGATGACTTTATAACCGATATTCACTGTACACCTAAATTGCATGCCACGGGTAGTGGAGGTAAGTCGTCACTATCTCCTCGACAAGGGGTGAAATTCTCATGTACCGGCACAGCCTACGCTATTTCATGATTTGTGTATGAACCCTACGCCGGTCTAGAAGCAGTTTTATTGTGATATCCCCACATCATTTTCTCTTCATTCTGTTGTTGCTCATGTGCAGGTGTTGTGGAGTGCAAAGGATATCGACTGCAGTTGCACAGGGAAGAAAACACATTTGACGTTTCTGCCAGTACCTGCGCTCAGAGCGGTATGCGACTTTTCAGGCGCAAGTATCGCAAAGCACTGAAGGAATCCAAGTGTTTCCAGGTAAGGGGCCATCCGATAAAATACCGATATTTATTTAGAAACGAAAACTAGTCATTTCTCTTCAACCCCCTCCCCCAGAATCGAACACTTACAAACGGTGCATAGTATCGATATATTTTCTTTTCTTTTCTGGTCGTGCCACATACAAACTGTGCATTGATATTTTTCGAGAAACGAAAAGGCGCTCAACCCCCTCCCCCCTTAATGACTAGTTTTCGTTTCTAAATAATTATCTTTATTCATGGATGGCCCCTAAAGAAGTTTTGTTTAAATCGTATCTGCATCGCTCACGTTCCATGGGATTATTTTCTCCCCAAGGATGGGCCATGACCGAAACGTTCATGACGTATGCAGCAAAGAACCATATTCTGACTGTTTGAGTTGAGGTATCCTTGTGAGTAATGTGTAAGTGGCTGCAATGGAGGCTGCAGGTGCTTAGAATTTTTTAATTTGTGTTCAAGGTTTTTGTATAATCAGGATTCAGCGCGTTCAATGGAAACCTCAGCTCAAACACTCAAACACATGGTCTCTTTGGTGCATACGCCATTCGAACAGTTCATCAAACCTGAAAATGAGTGTGTGACTTATAATCAAGTGTGATTTACAATTAAGTGTGACTTGCAAATGAGTGTGACTTATAATCGAGCGTGACTTATACTCAGTAAATACGGTACAGATCCTGTCCTCAGTGCATTTTTCTTCTTCTGAATCTGCTCTTCATCTTGCTGATCAGAAATTACTGGGAACTAACCAGGGGCTTCTTGTCTGGATGCGAGTAAAGAAGTCCAAGACAGCTACAATGGATCTCTCAACCGGAGAGGACGGGCCTGAGCAATCCAGGGCTGCTTCCCTATGTGGTGAGAAGCATGCAGTACATGTAAACTAATCGGAATCCAGTTATTGTCAATAAAGCTATTGCACACTATCACAATGCTACAGACTCAAGCCAAGTTAGTTCTTTTGGATTTTGTGCTTTTAACAGTCAGTGTGCTGGTATTGTGATCCTGTTGCTCAGGGGCGTCGGAAGATATCAGTTTGGGGCGGTACGGTCAGCCACCTGTTCACTTTACTCGTGGGATTGGGGTGGCGCCTCTGCCGGAATGTTTTGGAAATTTAGAGCCCAAACCAGTGTATTCTATTGATTCACGGGGTACCTGGGACGAAGAGTGGTACGGTGTTGTGACCATAGCGTGTCCAACGCCCCTGCTGCACTTCCCCGATCCTCCTAGTTTTGCCAGCTGCGTTTTTTTGTGTAACTCTACAGTGTGCGATTCCGTGCATTCTTGTTCTGTGTGCGCTGCATAGTTCTGAAGCCAGCGAGGACATAGACAGACATGACCAAAGGAAGAGCTTCGTCCACTTTCAGTGAGTACTAATCTCTTAAACTATCTAGCATAATATGTCACGGTGCGCCGGGGACTCGGCTACAATCAGTTTTCTGCACCCTGAGGAACGCCACCACCCTGCCAAGATCTAAGGCACAGATGTAGCTCCACAGTAGCTATATTCAGTCGGAATTTTGTTTCTTTTACCCTAATGGTAAAGTGAGCAGGTTTTGCCCTCCCCCTTCACCTCTGTAGTGCAATTCAGATAGTATAATAATATTACAAGGAAGCCTTGTTTGGTAGTTTAACATTTTTTTTCGATTTTGACAGCATGTTACAAGGCGAGGACGCATAGTGCTCCTGACTACAACCATAACCCGGTTGGCAGAGAATTCAGATAGTACAATAATATTATTCATTATCTTTCAAGCAAAACCTGCCTACAGTCAGCCTTGCGAATAACGTCCCTGGAGTGTTCATGGGAAAGTGTCTTATTCTCGAGTTTGCCTTATTCAGGAAAACGGGAGCAGTCAAAGTATCTGAAGTTAACCATATTTTCCGGAGCATAAGCTGCACTGGAGTAAAAGGCACATTCAGATTTTTTGGTCAAGAAACACTGACACCTACCCTGCTTATCACCGTTCATTTGATTATCATAGTATAGACCGCACTGACGTTTTAACAAAAATTAAAGTATGGTATGTCTGTGTGTGTGTGTGTGTGTGTGTGTGTGTGTGTGTGTGTGTGTGTGTGTCTGTTTGTGCATGTATGTGTATGTGTGTATGTATGTGTATGTGTCTGTTTGTGTATGTATGTGTATGTGTATGTATGTGTATGTATGTCTATTTAAACATGCAGATAATGGAAAGGACAAGCAGCCTCATTAGCTGATAGCAGTTAGCAAACACTCTCTTCACACCAGGGGCATGGTGTACAACGTGTCTGCGTGTGTGTGTGTGTGTATGTGCACGCACATGCGCGTGTGCACGCGTGTTTGCATATTTACATATGTGTGTGTTCGTATCAAGTCCACTATGGGTGCTGCTCTGACCTGATTCATTGCAAGTTAGCATCACTTTGGGGTTGCAGTGTGCATTGTCGGAAGTTATGTGTATTTTCAGACTATAATATCAAGTGGGATCTACATAATTATATTGGCTCTGAGGTGACAAGTGTACGTGGTTGCGTGAATATCAAGCGTGGCGTAATGCGGTGCGGTGAGAGGGGTGGGACCGGTGGGGGGGGGGGGGGGGGGGGGAGGGGAGGGGGTGAAGGCTGTGGGCCTGTGGCGAGGTACCTACACGACTAACACCACCATAATATCTAGTGACATGGCACGAGGTTGCTGGGTGAGTACGGCAGCCCGAGCGCTAGAAGCTGTGCGCTTGATCCACACAGGCGATTGTCCCCTCCCTCCCCCCCCCCACGAAAACTCACATCACATGACATGTTTCCTCCTCCTCCTCCTACTACTACTAGAAAACAATCACAAAACACAATGCATGTTGTGCAGCAGCATGTCGTACTGGTGTGCATGTCATGACGTGTATCCATTTCCAAATTTAGTCGGCTTGGGTGCGTACGGGAAACACATTCCAGTCACTCGTACTCGGTCCTTACCGCTGTTCATCCAGCCCTTGCCTCCATCGAGGTAAGGGCTGGATTCTGCCTTCTACCATCGTTCTTGTGCAGGAACCTGAGATCCTGCTGTATGTTACGGGAACGCGACAGGAGAAACTTGGGAACACTCTTCGCATTTCTGTACAGTAGAGTCGCGCGCTGAAGAGCGTGGAGCCCAAGAACGTCCAGCCTGAAATTCTAAGAACGCCACAGCCTAAAGCTAAGAACGGCGGGGTTGGTTTCTCGTAGCTTGTGGGATACATATGGTCCAGTGCGGTTTGTTTCTAAGAACGTGCTACAAGATCGTAGCCAGATTGCTGAAGATAAGAACTTCCCAGGCTGACTCCTTGGAAACAACGTTCTTGGGCGCGCGACTCTACTGTATCTACACTCGCGTAGAGAAATCACATGAAATGTGTGCTGGGAATTTCCCCTGCCAATGTTTGCAGATTTTTGCCTGCATTTTGACGATACCAGCAGATCAGTACAGCACGCTTATTTTCCTTTTCAGCCTTCGCGTGTGCCACCATGATTATACTTGTAGGGAACGTGATCTGAACGTAGAAATCCAGACCCAAAACATGCGAAGCCGTGGACTCTACTAACCCAGACACATCCTCTATGCGTGATGTCTGAACTTTTCATGTATAGCAGAACTTCACTGATGTGAATGGGACTTTAGAGCTACAGAGAGGTACAGCTGATTAAGGGGAAAGCATTCAAGTGATTCATTTCTTGAAACAATTAGTCAAACATGAGTCTGGTGAAAAAAAGAAGTTAATAAATACTTTTACACAATCACAGATCAATTCAATGGAAAAAGAGAAAGAGAAAAGTATAGTGAGGAGATTAACAGGTTCGTTTCGTTGTGGGTTTTCGATCATGAACACCAGTGCATTGCACGGATGTGTCGCTGGCAACAGCGGGCTGGCGAACACAATCCGCGGTTACCAGAACATGTCCATATCGGCGCAGACGGTGCTCATATTCATCGCCGGGGAATTACAAGCCTCGTCAGGCTCGGTTAGAAGTTTCTAACGAGAATGACAGGAAAGAAGGAAAACACACACATGCGAGAAGAGGAGGAATATTACACTTTCAAGCCTAAGCAATTAGTTTATGCATTAATTAAACATGGCTGCCACCTTTCTTTGAGGGGCACATTGTCCCACAACTAGCGGGTTCAGTCCCTTGTGGTACACTTGTTGGTAAGATCTTGCAGGTCGTCCCCCAGTACATACAAATTTTGTTGGTTAGTACAAAATTCAGGTGCTGCATCTGCCGCTAGGGTTTACCGGCCGTCGTGAGTTCCCTTCGAGAACGGACACGATAATTAAGTTTTACTTTTTTACATAATTCAGGTACGACCGGTACAAAGTTTATGAACTTGAAACTGATAGGCCAGCATCTCCACAGCATTCATTTAATTTCTTATTGGCAAAAGATTTTCCAGACTAGTTCGTTTGCTAGCCAACGGCTTAGACCTAGATATGGTAAAAGTTGGGAAGATTGCCTAAGCAATGTTCAGACGCACTAACAGTGTCAATAGGCCTTTCCCAAAGATGCTCGCCGCTTTAACTTTTCGTTGTTTTAATTTAGGAAGAAGTCGCAACTTTCGCAATCTTCGCAACTTTCTTCATTTTCGCAAACTGTTTCGCAACTTATACGCAATCTTGGCCCCATCGCGTGGGGCCAACAGGTCAAGTCACAGACTACATGTCGGACTAATGCATATTCGCCCAGTTCTCGCCTGGCTTCAGACCCATTTCAGAGAAACAATAGATACATGGTAGTTACGATAGTGTGAATTCCCTTTTCCATGCACTGAATTGAAATGATGTAGGATACATGCGACAGGCTACTGACACTGTGTAAAGTTGTCGTTTACAGCAGGAAGGGGTGTACGAGTTTGCTGTTGCAGCACTTTTGCTATTTCTGCACCTTTTTGGTCGTTTTTTTTCTTGCACAAGAACTGTCCAATTTTAAATTGCGATGTTAGCAACTTTTGAGCTTTTTCTGAAAATATGGATTCGATTTCAGCAACTTGCACTTGTTTTGGCACAGTTGCGAAAAGCATAAGTAAAAAAATGATGGCATCTTTGGGAAAGGCTTAAGTGTCAAGCCGAGTAAAACAGATCTGATTTAAGGTAAAAAGGAGAAGGAAAAAATGTTACGAGTTATGACTAACTGTCCGCCAAACATAACCAGATCATATACAGTCAGCGAGTGGAACTTTTTACCATATTATATAAATGAACTTTTGCTTTTTACCATAATTACATTGGCTCACCATCCGAGTTCAGATCTGATTTAAATACAGTGAAGCCTGTATAGGACGACCGTTCAAGTGACCTTCAAAATAACTATGGTCTCTGTTACCAGGTGGTCTCCTTATCCAGGGTCAGTTGACTGGAAATAGCATCCTTTGGTCCTGGCTCCAGTGGTCTTTTAGGACAGGTGGTCGCCTTGACAGGTTCTACTGTAGTAATATTCTCCGGCACAGAAGAACGCGTTTATTTGTCGTAGAACCCTTTTGTGTACGCGCTTTTCTTTTCTTTCTTTTTTTCTCTTCTGCCGTGGTTGATCTCACCCTCTCTTCAATTTAATTGGCTCTCTTGACATGCTACGAGGTGCAGAAATAAGGTAAATAAATAAATAACTGTACCCTGCTTACCACCAGTGCAGATGTAGGCTACTCCTCCGGACGGCGTGGCTGATGCAGTGTCTTCCAACGTCTCGCTGTGCACCTCCTTCTTCTTAGTTAGGATGTGCAGAGTGCCTACGCCCAGATTGCGGATCTTCAGCATCAGATCCTACGGTCGATAGAAGAAACAGCAGTTGAACATAGTCTCATTCGCGTGATCTTGTGTAAGAAGTGAAAAATATCTACCGTCAAGTCGTCAAACCCCTATAATTATGTATATCAGCCATGTTGAGTGAAAATGATAATACACGTAATTGTGAATGTTCAGCACAACACTGGCACTGGCACAACACTGGCACAACACTGGCACTAAAACCTGTAGTGGTAGTTAATGGCTGAGGTACTGTACGGTGTATTGGGGGCCAAATGACCAGCATGTTATATGCAGGCCTTCAAAAAGAGTATACTTGTACAGGTAATATCCTGATAATTCGAACCTCGAAATGCCAGGAAAAAATTCTAATTATCCGGACATTCTAATTATCCAAACACGTAGTCAAGTGGTGTGCTTCACTGTCCGAAGACAGCCTGATGATCGTAGAGATACGTGAAACTCGGAGTTGTGACAAAGCTTCCAAACTCTCTCTTGTGTAATTATCCAAACATGAACCCACAACACAATACGTATGTCAAAATGCTCTCATGGTCACACAGAGTTGCGCTATGGACCTAAGACACAGATTTCACGGATACTGAACTGACCAGCACAGCCTGCTCATGCAAACTGAACCGACCAGTACAGTGTACAGTGAACTTCGAATTACACTTTGCTAACTTCGAATTATCAGCACAGGGAAAAGTTAACAGTTGCCTCTCTCTCTCTCTCTCCCTGTCCCTGTCCCTGTCCCTGTCCCTGTCCCTGTCCCTGTCCCTGTCCCTGTCCCTGTCCCTGTCCCTGTATCTGTCTCTGTCTCTGTCTCTCCCCTCTCTGTCTGTCTGTCTGTCTGTCTGTCTGTCTGTCCGTCTGTCCGTCTGTCCGTCTGTCTGTCTGTCTGTCTGTCTGTCTGTCTGTCTGTCTGTCTATCTCTCTGTCTCTGTCTCTCTGTCTTTCTCTGTCTCTCCCTTTCTCTATTGTATAGTCACATCACAGCTTGCTATCCCTCCCTATTGTACATTTTCTTACCCTGTAGCATAAGAACCTCCTCTCCAATCTCCTGTGCCGTTTTAGTACCATCAGCACTTTAGCTTCGCTCACGCAGTGCACTCGCGAGTGCGGTGATGGTAGCTCTCCAAAGTGGACAGTCAAGTTGAATTGACCGCACGTTTTGTGGATAGCTGCATGGATAAGTAACCGAGAGACACACGAAGGGGAAATATCATATAGTGATAGTTATTAAAACCCTTTCACCACTAAGGACGTATATTTTTGTCCTTGAGAATGACGCCCGGCCACTAAGGATGAACTTCATTCTCACATTCCTGGATAGCTGCACAGCTAGGTGACAGTAGAGACACACGGAGGGGAAAAAGCCTATAGTGACTGCTAAGTCCCTTATTTAACTCCATTCTCACATTCCTATGTATGTACAGGTCTAGTCTCCATATAACGTAATCTCTGGGACCACGCACAAATTATGTTATATCGAGAGTTATGTTACGTCGAGAACCGTGTGTAAAATACAAAATGTACCTCAAAATGAAGGGTATTACAAGGCGAGTTCAACCGTGCAAACATATACACACTGTACCACCATCGACATCAGATACCATCAATGCCGCAGAGTATAATGTACAATAGGACTAAACTGGCTAGTTACGGCTACAGCTTGATTATACCGCTCGTGAATCTACGTTGTATCGAGAGTGCACATGTCGGGGACCGCGCCATAGGGTGCGTTATGCCAAGGTTTACGTTATGTAGGGCTAAACTGGTCTAAACTGCCTAGCTACAGCTACCGCTTGATCGTACCGTGCACATGAATTATGAATTTATGTTGTATCGAGATTTCACACGTCTGGGACCGCGCCGCAGCGTGCGCTATGTCGAGGTTTATGTTATGTAGGATTACGCTGTGTAGAACAAAATTTGTATAGGAGTGATACTGTTTCGGCGCAGGATTTTAATTTTTTTACGTACTAGCGAGGTTTATGTACAAGTGGAAGGTGCTATATCGAGAGCAGACCTGTATTTGGACTTTCCTATTTTTTCAATTTACAAGATAACCACAAACCATTATGGTGCAAACGCCGGCAAAAACGCACAGAGATGCACATAGCAATCGCAGCCAAAGCAGTGGAGGCGGGGCAAGAGCAGCCAAATCGACCAGGACTGATAGCCCACGTGTACTTGCAAAGATTATCACCGGACCAACCGTTTTGGCTACCAACATGTGCGTCTAGGTGGCCATGAAGTCGAGACCCTAGGTCGGCGGAGCTCCCTAAACCTCACCACCACTGCCACGATTCAGGTTGTGCATGCTTCCCCTAGTTGCATCTCATGTTTGGCATTTAAGTGGTCTTTGTAAAAAATGTGTTTAGTGCTGTGGAGGGCAGGTGTATCCACGGTGATGGATATGATAGATGTCTGTATTTCGTGGCAAAAAAAATGGCGATTGCAGCTTATACTCCAGATAACACGGTATTTGAAGACAGTGTATATGCGACGAGGAGACAGTACTTTCATTAATGCGATTAATGATAGCACCAGTTCCACTGTAGATATGCTACGACCACTTTCCACATTAACTTAGTCGCAAAACAAAGTAGTGAAATCATTCTATTGGTTGAATACAGCAGGATACACATTGACACTTGGGATTAAGTTGTTCACCTGTCCACACCCTTACAATGCATTCCTGTATCTTTTTCAACTTACGGTTTCTGCGACAAGTAGGAAGATTACTCCAGACAACGGATCCGCCGTCTTGCTTGGCGAAGGTCGCCGGGGTGATCTGACTGCCAGGAGCGCATGGACGTCGATTGCACGATGTGTGGAAGCCATCCACGCAGAGGAATGCGGACGTTTCGAAGTCCCACTCGACGAGATCAGCGGCGTAATGAGCTGGAAAGAGCGGGACTGACAGAATATGAAAAAAGGATGAGTTCCTCCTTGAATATGCCAATAGTAACACTGTTTAAAAACACGATATTTTCGGTGTAACTTTAATTTCGGTGGTTTCAGTAGCGAAAACAAACACCTCGTTTAGATTACAAGTACAAGGCACCTAGAGTACACACTGTATGTGATGGGAATGCTGGTCACCTGATTCTGCATTACACCTGAAACCTGGCAGGTCCCTGATATCGAAATTTTAGTAGACCTAAATTACATGTAACCTGGCCGCGATTAAACTCCTGTTGTAAAATGACTATCCTGTTTTCGTTCTGCTCCTAGATCATAACAGGTTGACGTACTTGTATATCCATTAACCCTTTGGTGCCTGACTGAATTTTAGATTTTTCGTAGTTTTGGCTCAATTTTTTGGAAAGCCTATATCTCCGCAACCGCTTAGATGATGTAGCGACAAAAGTATGTATTCTGAATGGCAAGACACAGCAAGATCCGATTTTTGAATTTTCAAGTCAGAAAAATCTACAATAGGGTCAGGGTACTGCTCTGGTCCAAGAACATCTTGGTCGCCAACACAACTCAGCACGCCGAATCCACTACCTCGTCCACGGCCTCCGCCACAGCCTCCGCCACACGCGCCACACACGCCACAATCAGCTGTTCGATCAGCTGGCTGAGCTCGACCAGCGCCGCGAGCAATTCCTCCGCACAGCGCGAGCGGAGCACGTCCACGAACTGGCTGCGCTTGCCCTCGCCCTACAGCTTCTTGAAGCTCATCGTCGGAAATTTTGTCCTCATCTGAAGAGCTGCCGTTCTCAAGAATTTCACCGAAAACCAAATCATCGTTGAGTCGGTCTTCCTCAACTGATGACGGCATGTTTCCGTCAGAGAAAAGAGCGTCAGATTATTCACCATCGTCGTCTTCTGATTCTTCTTCTACAGGGGCATCATCGGCCTCCAGCTCTTCAAACAACTCAAGCGCTCCTGCAGCATCCACGGCGGAGCTCAGCTGTAGTAGCCATGAACTGTACTAGTCGAAAACGAAGCGAAACAGCAACGTTTTGTTCATGTTGCGGGACGCGTGCGTAGGCTGCCACGCTCGATTGACTTCCGCTGATCTGCGCGATCGTCGTTGATCACGACTCGACTTTTTCAAATGCAACCCCCCTACTTTCTCTATTGCTATCTACAGGCCAGCTACTGAAGGGCCTCTGTACAAAAAATCAGGCACCTGCGATGTACGAGACTGGCTCTGTGCTCGATTTTAGTATGCACTGTCAGCATAGGTCGAAATCGACCTACCGGCACCTAAGGGTTAAAATACAGTACTGAATGCCAAGTTCATGCCCAGTTTATCCACAGTTCACGTTCAGTTTTGGCACAGTTCCTGTTCATGTCACACTCAGTTCACACTCAGTTCACACTCAGTTTTCACTCAGTTCACATACCATGACAGATTATTGTAAAGACCTGCACATACAGTGATGGCAAATGAAATCCGACCCCTGATTTCCGTGCTCGGGTGCAGCATCCATCCCAGCGCTCTCTACTGAGTCTTAGTAGTGTTACAAGTGCGTGCTGGGTGTTTGCAATATGAGTGCTATGTTTCTACCCAAAAAGCAAACATGAGCACACGACAACACAACCGGACTTGAGTTTACTTGGTATCCGGAACTGACTTACAACAAAAACATGAAATCAAAGAATACAAAAGATCACAAATAAAACAACATGAACCTACACTACGGCTGCGCAGCCTGCAAGGCTGCAAGGCTACGTGTAATCAAGATGTACACTACACAGTATGCATTACTGGGTCTGTGGTGTGCATACATCACAGTGAGTGCACCGAGTTGGAGTCGGATTTCAGTCGCCACTTTTGCTGCACTTTGGAAGTGACTTTTGCATACACGGTGCACGGATTACTCACATATTCCGCAAACGACTGGCTGTGTCAGGTTGCAGGCACCGAATGTTCGGGAGTCGCTGGTCAGATTCCTGAACGCGCAGCTTCCATTGAGGAGTACGGTGGCCGAATGCAGCATCAGATTGGGAGTGATGTGGCCCTTCAGTGCTACTGAGTTACTCACTAAGTCAGATGCGCATTCTCCGGCTGAGGGCCGACTGTAATGGAATGTGCCATACTCAGCACAGACTGCCTGGGCTGCGTCATGGTCAGCGACACTGGCGTGATAGATGTATTTACCGATTTGACTATCACTCTCGCAGAAGCCGGAAATTTCCCCTGAGGCAATTGTGAAAGAAAAGAAGCACACCGATCAGTACAAACAGACAAACGCTAGCACACTTATACCACGTTTGTAAAAGAGTACCACGTTTGTCTTGGTGGCCGGCTACCAACATTTTCTTACTACAAGTGTGTCCTATCCACACACTATTATCTATACCTATAAACACCCCACACAGCCATCTTGGCATAGCCGTCTGGGGTGTTGAACAGTGCATTGCCGATCCCAGCATACTCACATGCATTACTCATAACTTCCATATTTTGCTATGTGCACTGGGCATGCTATGCATACACCATCATGATGACTCGTGAGTTGCTCTCTTGAAAGCCTAGGCAAAGGACATAGCTAGCAAGGGCCCTCAACCAGCAGTTCTCTCTCATCTTGAGTTTATCTCAGTACAGCCCTTGAATGCTTACACTCACCAGGGGCGTAGCTGGTACTCATTTTAGGGGGGGGGGGTGCACCGGCCGCGTACGTGTAGGATGGCTGGTGCATGTCATTCATGGTCATTATGTGCAGGCTGAACCTAGGTCGACATTATGGGGGGTGCACGTGCCCCCCCCCCCCCCCCCCCGTGCCCCACGCAAGATACGCCCCTGCTCATGGCTTCCCTGGAGAATCGACTTACGCATAGGTTTGCAGGTAGGAAGGTTGCTCCAAATCTCACTTCTATCCTCAAGCCAGCTCGTGACTGCAGAAATATTTGCACGGCCGCCGGCACAATTAGCCGTGTCACAGTTGCCAATGTAACCGTCTCGGCACCGGAATGTGGATCTGCCATAGTCCTTAACGACATGTGTCAAGTCGTAATCGTCTGGAAAGGCCGGGGCTGCAACCAGGCAACATGAGACATTGCGGTTTAGCGCCACACACAGATTACCTTGTCGTCTGTGCATTGCAGATCAAAATCATTTGCAATTGAAGGCAGAGAAAAATAACCGTAACACTGTAGTGTCCTAGCATCAGTGTCTTCTCATCTTGCTTATGACGGTTAGTGCTGGACACGAACTACGGATAACATGTTACATCAGGTGTGCAAGAATTGACTCGGATGGAGAGCCAAGGATAAAATTTATAGAAAAGAAAAATAGGACCAAGAATTGGTGTTAGTGGACATAATAGCTGGTAGTTTCTTAGTCCTTTTTCTTTACTAAGCTATAAACATGTAACATTTTGGTCCTTTCTTTAATTCTTCTAGATGACTTACTTCTGACACAGACGACTGGCTGTGCTTTGTCACACGCCCGGTACTGGATGCTCTTGTCCGGGAGGTTAAGATACGGGCACCTGTGTCCCGACCGGTGGCCGTTCCTGTCTGTCACGTGGATCCGCAGGTCGTTTACGCCATTATCGCGCAGAATTGAGTTGTCAACAAGTTGCTGTATGCAGCCTAGCTCATCGGCAATGTGCCTAGCTGGAACGCCATCGGCTCGATTACACAGCTCTTCTGCGTGGTTTGCTCCAAAGGCGATTGAGTGGAAAACGTACTGGCGAAGATGGCCGCCACTCCAGCAGGATCTGGCAATGGCAGGTGTGCCTTGAGAGGGCAACAACAAAGGACAAATATGTGGGGCATGAATACAAAGACCGTCAATTCAGCATGGAGGGTAAGGTATGGTATCCAGCCTGGCATTGTGTACGACTGCAACCGTGCGAGAGTGGGCATTGTGAACGTGGAAATGGCAACCTACAAGCGCACAAGACATCCCCCATTTTCGATGCCTAGTTGCAGCGCTGACGCCGAGATCTCTGGTCGGTTGAGTTGCTTCAAGCACATCGGCACATCGTCCCTACATCCCCTATGTTTTGTCCTTTTCCTCGTTTCTTTTTGTTCTCCACCTGCTTTCCAGTAGGGCTGTGTTAAAAGATGAAAAAAAACTAAAAAAAACTACCGTATTTGCCGGAGTATAACGCGCACCTGAGCATAATGCGCACCCTCTCTTTTGAGTAACATTTTGGCGATTCAAGGCATATCTGGAGTATAATGCGCAGCCTAGATTTGAGAGCATCATCGACAGTACAATATCAACCATTTTCCAATTTTATAATGCACATGCTACCGATGGGGTTCTAACCAATCATGTGTTAGCAGTGTAGCTGGCTGTAGACACTGGAAATGTACACAGTCATATGGTTTGCTCCGGTTCAGAGGCGGCAAACTTCGCAATTGTTGGATACATTGCACTAATTTTCAAAGTACATGCACATGCACTTTCATATTCAGAGCAGGGTGCGCACCTGAGATTTGGGGCCTGAAATAGTACATCTAAAGTGCACACTATACGCCAGCAAATACGGTACACGTGGGAACTCTCAATTTCCCCGGTGACAGGCACATGCACAAGGCGAGCAACAAAAAGAATACTGTTGGCTTGTGCATGACTCTCTATGTGGCAACTTTCGAAAATGACCTAGGAACTGCACGTAATTTTCATATCGAAAGTTTGCGCTGTTGGGTTTCGCTCGACGTAATTTCCCGTCAAGTAAGCATTGTTGTGTTGGGGACTCGTCTGCCGCTCATGCCCACGAATCTCAAACCAAATTCTTCGTTATACTCCTGCTTGTTTTTTCTTTCTTGTAACTTGCCATGGATAAATCCGGAAAATGTTAAAACTAATTTTCAAAACGTCACACGGAGGAGGGAACACAGAAAACCGCTTTCCCGCAGAAATCCGCAGAGAGATTTATGTATGAAAGTTGTCCTCGCTCCCTGTCGTATACAGCATAAGGATTTTCAATTGTATTTGTAGGGAGAGTGAAACAAACCTAATGCCATAACAGACTGCCCAACCTTGCCACCTTTCCAAAGCAGGACACTTATAAAATGTATACAAAGGCAATTGTCTCCCATGTAAATGTACACAAATGTTTTGGTCCAAAGCAGGACTGTCCTGCTCAAAGCAGGACGGTTGGACAGTCTGCCAAAACAAGTCACCGAATTGCAACCAGGTTTGTATTGATGCCAGATGGTGCTTCGATAGAATCAAACGTCAACACAAACTTTGGAGAACAGCTATGTTCTAGCGAACGAGGGTAGAACTCACCGACAGGCCTTGCACAAACAGGCCGGAAGAGCTTCAGGGTTGCACCGTCTCCATCAGCGGCTTGCTTGCTGCTGTCACATAGCGTGCTTCTGGGAGTAGTGTCTTTGCTTGAACCAAGGTTCACGTATGCACATTTGGTAGTGAGTGGGTATTCAGAAACGTTAACGCTTTTCAAGTTGTCCCCAAGGCTTCTGAAACTAGCGGCGCTCACCAGCGTCGTGACACCAATGTGAAAGCCATCAGTGAAGCGAGCAAGCTTCGAAGTACATCCTTCCACCTGTGTTATGTCGATCAAGTCACCACCTCTTTCTTGGCACAGCATTTCGGCATTCTTCCAGTTTTTATGCTGAGAACCCGGCGGACTTATCCAAATCTGTGTCTTTTCACTGCAGCTCTGCCATTCAACTATAGCAGACACAAGACGAAAACGAGATAAAGAGAGAGAGAGATATAGACAGAAAGAGAGAGATAGAGAGAGAAAGAGTAGTGTTGGGTTTGTCGTGAGGCCACACGTCTATTCAGTTGCCGCTCGTAGTGATTTCGGGGTCCGGTCACTGAGAGCCAGGGATGCTACATTATTGGTATAATCGTTTCTACATTTTCATCATTCTCTGGGAGCAATCCCATGGCTGATGAGAATGAATTATCACGTGACCTCTTTTGTTGAATTTACATACAGAATATCGGCATACACTACTCCAAGAGGGTGATCAAAGGCTGGCTCCCTGCAAGTTCCTGAGCACCTCCAGTCCAGTTTTATTGGTTCCCTTAGTTTCAGCTTATGGTCAGGGCCAACACGATGAAGCTGTTCCGTTTGCAACACAAGTGTGTGAAGGATTCTCGCACCTGTAGTGGGTAGCAGAGAATCACCCCATACATTGGCGGGGGGGGGGGGGGCAAAACCATTCCTTTCCAAATGTTTCAACCCTTTCCCTGCCACGCCTTGATCCGGGGTGCTGGCCACACCATGGTGAACGCAAACTCACAATGCACTCACCTGCATGCTCAGGTTCAGAACTAAATTTATTTTATTATCACTCCACATTGACGGATTGTCACGATCTATGGCTTGTTGGAAAGATCTGGATCTGACGAAGACACTACAATAGTTTCCAGCTCAAAAAGACATGCCAGGAAGACCGCTAAATTCTCTCCAAGTCCCCCTACCATGCCTCTAAATTGCAAAACAACATCTCGCATTTTCTATCGTCTCCTTACTCACACTCAAATGATTTTCACGATTCAAACTGCAAAAGAAAGCTGAGATTCAAGCGCTTCCTTTGATACCCAATACGCATGCGTTGCTCTCAAGGGTAATCCCCTGCATGCACAGAAGTGACAAGCAAAAACGTTATAGTCGATCGCCGGCAGGTGAAATTTGAAATCTCCAGCTGTTCACATTGTCGGCGCTCAGCGATACATTGGCCTATCGCGAAGATCGTTGCATTAGTGGAAAGCTGAGTTCAATACCTTTCCAACGATGCATCATTCATGAGAATCCCTCGCCGTTTGAGTGAGTTACGATAGTTTGAACACTCGTCTATATGCCATGATGTGCAGTGTACACTGTACACTTTGGGTGCGTCGTGTATACTCGTCGCTGGCCATCAAGGGTACATTCTGGGCGTCGCGTATACGCGACGCTGTAAATCGGTAACCAACGATTTTCTTCCAGATGGAGAGGGATCCGGATAAAAGAGGACCGGATAAGCGAGGTCTGACTGTATCACATTTGACTGACTATAACAATTATAACTTTGTGTCGAGTAGCGTCAACCCTAGCCGTTGCAACACAGCCCATCACTTACAAGAGTCCTGGCAGTGTGGAAGGTTGCTCCAGACCTGGCGTCCATCCACGTTGATAGCTTGGAGAGGGTTGTTCCTCTCTCCACCGGCGCAGGGAGGCTGCTCGCATTGCTCGTGTGAGCCCTCCGCACAACGGAATGTGCCGCGGACCGGATCAATGATCGTATTGCTGCTGTCATAGCCCGCTGGAAACGTTGGGCCTGTCAATACAAGGCAAGAAAAACAAAGTTTCAGTCTGGAAGAGTGACCATAAGTTTGCAAGTCACCCATTTCGTTCAACACTCACAATTTTAAGCAATTAACCCTTTACCAAGTGAGAATTCAAGTGGGCAGGAAAACCGCGAGCTCCCATGTAGGGAGCAACACACTTTAATATAACGATTTCGCAAATTCGACTGGTTTACGGCACCAAAGGTAATGATTCTCACTTATTCTCAACGCTCAATAGGACAGTATATGTATCTATTTCTGTATAACGATTTCTATTTTAACGACAGATTTCTCCTCGTCAACTCTTTAGAGTTAGCACTTCGTTATGTATTTGGCTTTTACAGGAATCATTATAATTCTAATACTCGGCCCTCCATCTGAGTCGAATCTGCACACCCAATTGTTTAAATTCAAATCAACATCTTTCAGCTCCCTTCGAAGTAATGCGGTGAACGTTTGCATGTACTCATTAATAATTTCTATCAAGCGTTATTCATCGTGCCTTGCAAAGTTCAACTAGCATCTAGATTGCAATCGTCCACATTACAATTGTGTTCCCTGTACTCTCAGCGGTCTCTTGGCAACACCGAATCCAAAGTTTGCATGGAATCAATATTAATTTTACTTTTCTCAATAAACGCAAGGACTCCACTGTCGCCATCCCTTATAGTGTATAACCAAACATCCTCACACCACTGTTCCAGTTCTCTGTGGGCTACACTGATCTCTGCAAACAGAATAAAATTATCCGAATTTCCGGGCACTATCCATCTTACTCCCCATCTCCAGGAATGAATATCTTACTTAGTACCAAAATTGACCCTATCGTTACTTTTGCCAGGTTAGAGAGACATACAGGGAGACAGAGAGAGAGAGAGAGAGAGAGAGAGAGAGAGAGAGAGAGAGAGAGAGAGAGAGAGAGAGAGAGAGAGAGAGAGAGAGAGAGAGAGCGAGAGAGAGAGAGAGAGAGAGAGAGAGAGAGAGAGAGAGAGAGAGAGAGACAGAGAGAGACAGACAGAGAGACAGACAGAGACAGAGAGACAGAGAGAAAGAAAGAAAGAGAGAGAGAGAGGGGGGGGGGGGAGAGAGAGGGAGAGAGAGAGAAGTGGAAAGATCAGAGAGAATGAGTGAGAGAGAAATGGAAAGAAGCTGAGAGAACGGGAGAGAGAAAAGAGAGTGAGAGACAGTGAGATTGACAGCCAGAGAAAGAGGGAGAGGAAGGCAGATAGATAGAAGTAGGGAGAGTGAGAGAACATGTAGGGGGGGGGGGGAGTAGGATTAAACGTTCATTGCAAAACTTGTGCAGGCCAGTTGGGTCATACAAAATACGCTGTCACGCTTTGTCTGCATGGACGCCAAGAACTTTAAGTTCGGTAGAGCAGCCTGGCTGCGCTAACGCTTCTCGCACATATTCGGGAATAACGTGGACTTTCGTATAAAACAAAAAAAATGCCATTAACAATGGTCATTATCACGCACCTTGGCATATCGGTGGGCTAGCGGAGAGTTCTCCAAGATGGCATGTTGATCTGTTGCTACCAACCATTCGGAAACCCAACTTACAGGAGTAGTACACTTTGTCGCCGGACCCTACATGCGATCTGCTTGGATTCACATTGCCGAACTCAGGGGCTTCAATGGCACATTTGGTCGCTAGTGTGATAAGTATAAGAATCATCCCAGAACACAGTTGTAAGCGAGGGAAGTGCATCAATAGTTCCATATACCTCAAGCAAAATGCATTGTAATAAGAAAAAAGGGGTTTCAAATGAGAACTGCACCTTTTGGTCGGTCATTTCAGTTCCTATTCACTGCATAGGGTGTTCAATTCGACTAGTTATCAAATGTTCTAATAGCAGAAGCATGAAAATGTTCAGAGACTACACTCATCACAACAAGGTCAAGGCTGGTTTGTCACTACATGCAGGGATTAGGCATTACATGAAACACACAACTTAACAGTAGTGTTACAGGGTACCTCACTTCAAACTCTCCAACTAAGGTCTCTTCACTGCACACGTTCACTTCCAAAAAAAGTTATACTTGTATTAGATATAAATTGAATGCATTCAATATATTATATCTAATATACTTATTAAGCTTCCGTGGAGATAAAAATGTAATCAACGCAATAAATAGGGTAAGCTCCGCACTCAGTACAAACACCATAAGCAAAACTTGTTTTCATGTAAATAAAGAAGCTTGTTCCTAAACGTTTTCGTCGCCATCTCATCATCACATTTTTACCACTAAGCCGATTTTGTGTAGGCAGAAAAAGAATTTGTTTACGTTGAAATTGTTTGTGAATTTAGATCAGTAGTTCTCGTTTGTGGTTGCATGGTGACTTTCTAGTGGTGAATTTATCGCATCTGTTGTCACCTGATATCGTTGAATGGTGTAATGTTTCTTTCAGCTCTCATTTTATCGCGCTAGTTAGGGTCTAAATTATTACTTGCATTGTGCGTATATATATTGAGTTAAGAGCTTTTGTTGATTTGCCAGTAATCCTCTGATGAGATGGCGACGAAAACGTTTAGGAACAAGCTTCTTTATTTACATGAAAACAAGTTTTGCTTATGGTGTTTGTACTGAGTGCGCAGCTTACCCTATTTATTGCGTTGAATATACTTATTATTATTTTTTTGGAAGTGAACGTATGCAGCGAAGAGACCGTAGTTGGAGAGTTTGAAGTGAGGTACCCTGTAATGTGTGAGTGGCTGCAATGGAGTCTGCGAGTGCTTAGAAAAGTTTAAACAGGAGTACATGTGCCGACAAGATATTGCATCGCAATGGTATTAGATTCGAGTTGTTTATCATAGTGAAAGTTTTCAAGTGACCAGCATCGGCATAGTATGATTCGTTACTAAGTGGACTCGTCAACAACCATGCAAGTAGCGGAAAAGAAACATGATCACGCACCTTGGCATGTCGGGGGGCTAGCGGAGAGTCGGCTGTTATTGCATGTTGCTTTGTTGTTACCTACCAGTCGGTACTCCAGCTCACACGTATAGGACACGTCCTCGCCTGATTCTACATGCGAGTTGCTTGGTCTAACATTGCCGAACTGAGGGGCGTGGATGGCACATTTGGTCGCTAGTGTGATAAGTATAAGAATCATACCAGAACACAGTTTTAAGGGAGAGAACTCGTAAATAATTCCACATGCCTAAAGCAAAATCCGATGCATAAGAAAGAGGGTTTTTTTACACGGAAACCGCGTTTTTTGGTTGATCTTTTCAGTTCTTACTCACTCCATATGTTTTGATAAATATTGACAACCGGTGGTCTGGTCCCTACATCAGACTAGTGATGTTCGTATTGTATTCAAGATTCCAGTGTCCCAATTCTAGTTCTGTGCTTGTGCAGATAGCACAGGTCGTTCACACTTGTGTTCATATTATATTTTCCTCGCGTACGGTATTGTAGTCCCCTATGTTCTCTTGATGCTGTTGATGTTGTTCTCTTCCATTCTGTGTAGGCATGTGCACTTTCATAAAAAAATCAGAAAAATCATTGAAAAAGTGTACAGGGTATTGCGATGCGCACACAGCGCCACACGGAGGCAAAACATATGTACAGTGAAACCTGGTTTAGGCGACCACCCCACGGTGCAAGCAAAAGCGGTCAATAAATCCAGGTGGTCTTTAGAACCAGGTTCCACAGTATCTGTGTAGACCTGTCCGTGCATGGAAACACGGTCATTAAGAGCAGGTGATCACTAAACCCAGAGGTCGCTTACACCAGGTTTTACTGGAGTCCAGATGCTCTTCAATCCGGCTTTGGGACTCTCAATACGATTGTAGTGTCTCCGAATTGCCGATATCACACTACAGCCCGCTCAAATAATCATTTCAGTAAGTGGGCAACAGCCCAAGCATTTGATAGTTGAAGATAATACTCAGGCGCGAATGCACACTTCAAAACTTACATGTACTTTGGCAAACTGGTGGCGGCGAGTCAAATTCTCCTGAAAACTGACACTGCAGGCTCCGTGCACCAATCGCTCTGTACCCCTGGAAGCATTCGAATGTCACATGCTCGTCCGCATCGACCGCTTTCACGGCTGGCCACGTTCTGCCAAACTCAGGAGTTTGAATGACACATTTCGTAGCTGAGCAAAAAAGATGAGCAAATACAAGGTTTTATAGGAAAGAAAAAGGAACAAGCTAAAACCCGGGTGTTCAGCCAAAGTAATCATGGATAAAAAGAAAGGCTAACTGTATAAGATCTGGTTACACTGGTGGACAGTAAGTCACAACTCGTAACATAGTATCCTTTCTTTTTATCCATAAAATGACCAAAGTTCATTGTTGTAACGGAATCAAATCTAAGTTGCAATGGAATACATTTAAAGGTTGTAATGGAATAGCATTATTTTCGTCATGCTTAGATGTATATTTCTGCAATTAAACTGGTTTAAGTGGTTGATTCTCGTGTGCGCCTATCTCTCCTCGTCGTTTATTCATGGCTGTATTAAACATATTGTATAGTTCAGTTATGACAAGAATGCCGTCAAATGCAAATGCAGAATTTTGAAATTTTACTGTGGCTCTTTTAAAAAGGGTTAAGTTCATATTTTCACACCCTTCTCCTTGTGGAATACTGTCGGGTTGGATCGAGGCTAAGCCACACCTCTGTAACCAAAAGGCCGGCTAGAAAACAATAACTCAGTAGACTCTTGATTGGAGGGAAACAAATCAGCACACGAAGCAGAGAAGCCGTTATAACCTTAGCCTTGACTAGGCCTCCCGAACCTTTACTTTTCAAGTCGAATACGATGATGATCAACGCGGCAGCAAGTAAGTCCTTATAACCGGCACTTTAGCGGTGAGAACAGTAACAAGACCATAGCGTCTGTGCTTCGTGTGCTGATAACAATAATTATCTTCCACCAGATTCCAGCAGAAATTTGCTTTCAGTATAATAATTATACAGTGTTTCCTGCCTGAGTGTTTCCCACTTTCTTCCTAGCGAGTGCACACTCGGCAATGTGTACTGCAGAGAGCAATGATGATGGCCTTCTGGCATGCATTTATCGTTAATGTCGGAGTAGAAAGGTTGTGAGGTGTAACTTGACTGCAAGTGAGTTCTCCTCGCCTAGCGTCCAGGCAATGCAAGTAGCGAATATTTAGTTTAGCCGTATTTCAAGTGGGGAATATACATGGTCGGCCGCAGCGTGCAACGGTGGTGGTGGTGGCGGCGGTGAAGTGGACGCAGGATTTTCAAAGGGGCCGAGTGCCGCAGCTCACTTTCTTGTCATTTCAAGTAAGAAAACAATTATACCGAAGGCAACTACACAATAGCTTGGTGTTAGAGAATTGCTGACCATACACGAGTGCACCTGGTTTGAGCCCTGGTGGCAATGATAGTTTATTAGTTCTTCAGATGTTCGCCGTTGCAACTCCTCCATATAGTTTATTTTTTTGGAAAACATTATAAACATGCACGCGAATGAATTCAACTGTGTTCAATTTCTAAAGGGAACACTTTGAATTCTGGAGTGGAAACTGTGGAATAGCAACGGTGAGCAACTTACGTTCGCACACAGGTACAGCGTCGGAGAGTTGCTCCGTTGGCAAGCATGATGCACGGGATGCTCCGACCAATGTGAATCCTATATTACATTGATAGTGTACCAGACTGTCAACACCGATCGTTGAATGTAATGGATATGCGGAGCCGTTTGCTGGTGCGTGAATGCGGCAAGCACCAGCTACGCCGAAACAAGAAGAAGAAGAAAAAGAACACCTTTTACAAACTGAAAAGAAGACATGAGAGAACACTGGGAGAACTGCAATGAGAGGGACAGCCTTTGAATAAAAATAAAATGCCGGATTCGCAATACCAGACCCGTATACAGTCAACTTCGCGAATAACGACTGCGGATATAACGACAATTCGCGAATAACGACAGAATTTCCATGCCCAGAGCAAAGTCCCATCTAACTGAAATACATAATAATGAGACTTCGGGTATAAGGACACTTCGCGAATAAGGACACTTTTCTGATGCCCGGCCGAGTGTCGTTATACGCAAACTTGACAGTATTCTGTTTTTAACTCCATTATGACCACCTATGTTGAGAGTATACGGGTTACATATCCAATTTGTTGCCTCGGTCATTTCGCCCTGCATGGTAAGAAGGGAGCAAGTTCACAAATACTAACTACGGTCATCTTTATAATTTTGTGTTGAGTGTGCACATGCATGCACACATGTATCCAAAACTCACAACATGTGTCATCAGTATGCGTAGCACGTGTCGAGAGCTGACTTTGGTGGGAACAGCTTGTAAGCGCCTGCTAGATTCTGCTTCGTCTCATATGCCAGTACAAATTTTGTGAAGGTCGAAAAATGATCTGCGAGCAGATACGCTCGATTCGAGCCCGCCGCCGTGTGTGCCTGCGGTGCAAGTGGGTTAGATCATTGCTCGTGACAAGCAAGGTCTCGGGCATGCTTGCACAGTTCCCATTCATAGATAGAGTTCAATATTTTTTCACAAAGACGAGCCGAACAGTGCCAACCCCCCCCCCCCCACCCCACAAACGAACGAATATCTTCTCTAAAAAAATATCGATATTTGTGGACAACCCCTGATATATTATAAAGTGTACAGCAATAATCGAGGGCATCACTCTCTATTGTAACACATCATTGACATGCTATTCCAGCGTGAACAAAAACTCACCTGTTTTCTCGCAGGTGAACAGATTGCTCCAGACCCTGGCTCGTCCCTGTCCGCTAGTTCTGGCAGGACTGAGGCCATTGACGCATGGCGGAGAGGCACAGTGCCTGTGGAGGCCAGGCTTGCAGTCGATCTCGCTGTGACCATTGGATCCCCGGATGCTTCTACTGTCGTATCCTTGCGGATAGTTCGGGGCTGAAGGATACATGGAGAAGCAAAGAATTTTTCTTTTTCGAAATGGAGCATTTTGTATCCAATCACAAAATTGGGAGTGTCGCCATTACCAACACAGTATGGATAGTCATTGTATAAATGTGTATAGAAACACCATCTACGGAGCGGTTAGTTGACTCTAAAACGTTGAAAAATTTAGCGACCTGACTGAGCAATATCTCAGAGAAATTTCTAGAGATTTTCCAAATCATAGCCAGCAATCGCATGTCATCTCGTACATTGAAAATCAACATAATTTTGCGAATCGACCTTTTTTTCAGGATCACTTTTCAACGAGGACGAAGCAAAGTCGGCCGAACGAAGCCTAGAGGAAGAAAATCACCCTCTCCACTTCACCATCACGATACTGACATAGATACGAGATGAAACAACTAAAAAATTCACAAGAAAACTGTACGACCATCATCGCGCTGACTTTGGTCTGACTTTGGTCTGAGAATTTCTATCACGATCAAAAATGTACGAGGAGCACTCAAAAATCAGCCACAGACGTACCTTTATCGCTCTCTACTCCTTTTTCAAGGCACAAAAGTCGACTCTCCACTTTCAAACCAGGAACCAGACATACCAGTGGTCCTTTTCAGCTGCTCCACGAGCGCAGGAAATGTTCACCAAGGGGCGCAGAGCAGCATCCATTCCAGAAAAATAGCTAAAATACGAGTGAGACTGCATGCCTGAGTACATGAGTACATGTATGAGTACATGCAGAAAATAGTCAATTTCAGCGTTTCTGCTCCAAACAGCAACTAGCTTCAACTAGAAACAAAGATTACACCAAAGGATCAAACAACAACCATTTTCTGCAGTTTTTTTGCAGATGGCTTCCTTGTGCTTGGCCCAGCACGCCAAAAACCACACCTCGGAGGAGTACAAAAATTACAACTCTCAGATGTCCTTGATTGCTGGCCATGAGCTCAAACCAAATTTGAATTATTTGGAACATATATTTGTCCCTTAACGACCCAAAGGCCAGCTTCATTTGCGTAAGGGCAGCAATGGACAGTTTGTCGGTTTGTGGGGACTAATCTATATCAGTGTCCTTACTCGGATAGACTTTGCATAACTTCAATGCACTGATGAGGATAATCCTGAAAAGCAACCCAATGGACCCAGTGCGCAATGACGTCATTTGTACCATAAACACCCTTCACAGCCACCTGGGCATGGTCGTCTGTGGTGTTGAACAGTGTATTCCTGATCCCAGCGCACTCACAAGCAGTACTCATACATTCCATAGTTGGTAATGAGCAACGGGTCAGCAATCTGGTGGGGGGGGGGATGGAAGGGGGGGGGTGTAATACAAGAGATACCGCACTTTCCAGAGCACCGTAAAGTACTGTTGTTCCGCCCTCGCTCTAATTTCCGCCCCCTGTCAAATTTCTGCTTTTGGAGCGACGTCGGCATATACAACCAAAATACAATGCAGAACCGGTGCATGTACTGCTGTACACAATACTGTAGCATGGCTACTTTATGACACGTAATTTGTATACACATAAATAGTACACCGTAGGAATGCATGGATAGCAGTGCGCATACTCGCACTGCCTGGTCTTCTTCTTCTCCTTGTGAGACAATGAACGAATGATAACTACTTACGTAACAACAAGTATGTGCTTTGAGTGCTGAGAGTATACGAGTTACAATGGTGGCAGCGGAAAAATAGTCGTCGGTTTTGTCCTCGGCTGGGAAGACGCCTCCGCAGGAGAGACAAGTTGCAGAGTCGACAAGTTCCAGAGAGTCTGAGACCAGTTCTAGCGACTCGGGAGACCAGCCCACAGACTAAGTTCTAATTTACTAGTATTGATCATTCTATCCTTCGTCTCGTTTTCCATTCTTTACTTCTTGACTGATCGTTCGCTGTGCATGAGTAACAGTTTTGTTTGGTGTAGAAAGGGCTACATTTTCACAAAAATATTTTGCGCACGTGAGTGTGCGTGCATACTTACCAAGTACACTGTTGACGTCATGTTCTGTGCACGTGTACGTCCGTGTGACGTAACCAGAATGTTTTGTGTAGGTCAATTGTTTTGTAACATTTTTCAAAAGTTTTTTTGAACTACAAAATTAATGTTTGTAGCTTGGGCCATTGCTTATGATAGTGAGATATCGAGATGGGCAAGTCCAAAGGCAGAAAGAAGACCAGGTCCCCTCGACCTCGTCCGTTCAAGATACCGTCTGACGAACATGTCAGTGCATCAGAGTTGCACCAGTCTAATGACACCGGAGTGCGTGATCAACTAGCTCAGGCGCTCGAGAAACTTGATCGCAGGTTGACCGCCCTCGAAAAGAGACTCAGCTGTTTGGAAATTGTTGCTCCACGTACACAGGTTCCTGTAGGAGCAAGTTTCGAATTTGATCAGCCTCATAGTAGTAGCAGTGGTCGTGGACATTCGTATGGTCGTGGTGGTCAGGTGGAACCACCGATTTGTTGTGGTTGTGGACAACCTGGCCATTTTGCTCTAGATTGCCCACACAACCCTTGGCGCTCGGGAAACTGAGTACGACTGGTGGTGTGGGACAACTCCCAGTCGTTCACGAGGAGCCATCAGATGCAGTACGTATCGAGGCTGTATCGTCAGTCCCTACGCTAGATCTCCATGTTCGAAGGCAAGTGTGTAACGGCGTTAATTGACTCTGGTTCCTGTGTTTCTATGTTGCATGAGCAAACATTTTTGTCCACGTATGGTGATGTGCCCTTGCAAGCTGCTCCCCGTTTGTGTGCGGCTAATGGTGAGGGACTCCAGGTTCTGGGTGCTGTGGATATTGTATGCTGCATTGGAGAGCGTTCATTCTTGCATACATTTGTAGTGTCTCCTGATATCCGCCGTGATATGATATTGGGATCTGATTTCTTGTTTGACCATGGAGCATTATTGAACATTGCTCAAGGCACATTAACTTTTAATGATCTGTCAGTCCTGCTAGGCGTGAAAGCTACTAGTGTTGGTCCATCAGAGCCCCGTCCGGTTGTTGCGGCGGACGCTGAACCGCTATCTGACTCTTGGAGTAATGATAGTAATTCTGAGGAAGACCCGGGCACGTACTATTCCCGTGTCACTGTTTGTAGTAAATTAACTCTGCCTGCCGGCCATGTCGTGCTGGTCCCGTGCAAGTCGGTGCAAGAGGCATCTGTCACTGTGGATTGTGTTGCTGTTCCACTGGACTCATTCTTGTTAAAGTTTCCAGATGTGTCTGTGACCCCCAGTGTGGTTACGGTTGGACCTGGCAGGTCCGGTGCGGTAGTTGTGTTGGAGAATCACTCTGACTACCCAGTACAAATTGCTACAGATGTTGATATTGCAGAATTATCTCTTGTACCCAATAACTTGATTGGAGAGGATGATGATCCTGCTGATTCATCTGTTGCGGATATGCAACCGTTTGTGCTATCCCCTGAACGTGCCGAGATAATCCGTACGTATGTTGAGTCTCGGAAACATCTGGCAGAACCTGAAAAGAACAGACTTACAGAGCTTCTCCATGAGAATCATGACTTGTTTCTCTTGCAGGAGGGTGATTTTGGTCCTTGTGATGTTTTGCCACATAGTAGTAGTACTGGTGATATACAGCCAGTTAAGCAGCCTACGCGCGCTTTGCAAGCTTTGCTGGATGGTCTGTTGTCCCGTGGTATACTCATCGAGTCCATTAGACCCTGGGCGTCGCCCATAGTTCTCGTTCCCATGAAGGACGGATCTCTCCGGTTATGTATCGACTACCGCAAGTTGAACAGCATTGCGGAGCCAGATGCGTATCCTATCCCACGTGTTGACGCCATATTGGACTCACTCTCTGGCTGTTCATGGTTCACTTGCCTGGATTTAGCGTCAGGATATTGGCAGGTTCCTAAGCACGAGGACGATACGGCAAAGACTGCCGTTACGACACCGTTGGGTTTGTGTGATTTCTTGGTTATGTCTGGCTGTAGAAATGGTCCAGCGACGTTCCACCGTGTAATGGAAGCGGTGCTTCATGGTTTGTGTAGTGTGCCTAACCACCCATTCTGTCAAGTGTTTTTCAACAGTGTATTGAATGCCAGCTCTACCTTCACTGGACAGCTCCAGATCCTGCAGTCTGTATTTGGCCGGGTTCGTGCTGCTGGACTAAAGGTAAACTTGGAAAAATGTTCTTTTTTCCAACGGAAGGTGCTCTTCCTTGGCCATGAAGTTTCGGCTGAAGGTTTGGCTCCGGATCCCACCAGGGTTGAGGCTATTGTGAAGTGGGCCGTACCCCAGTCTGTACGAGGTGTACAGGTGTTTCTGGAGTACGCCGGGTTTTACCGCAGCTTCATCCGTGGTTTTGCTCAGCGCTCCGCTCCACTGAATGTATTAGCAGGCAAGGGTGCCAGCTTTACATGGACTAAGAGTTGTGATGCGGCGTTGACGTCTATGAAGCGGTCACTGACCACAGCCCCCGTGTTGGCGTATCCCGACTTTTCTGTTTCGTCTGGTGGCTTTATTTTGGACACTGACGCAAGCAAGGTGGCCATTGGAGCTGTCCTCAGCCAAATGCAAGATGGCAAGGAACGCGCCATTGCGTTCGGCAGCCGGGTCTTGACGAAGGCAGAGAGGAATTATGATGCCTCAGGCCGGGAAACGCTTGCCCTTGTCCATTTCGCGAATCAGTTCCGGCACTATTTGCTTGGTCGGAATTTTATTGCCCGCACAGATAACACTGCCCTCACCGCACTGATGTCCGTGAAGGAACCACGCGGTCGAAAAGCTCGATGGGTGGAGCAACTCGCTGAGTACACCTTCACTACTGTTCACCGACCGGGTCGGCAGTACTTGAATGCAGATGGTCTGTCGCGTTCCTTGTTGCCGGAGGTGCAACCCTCTCATCTCGAGACTCCCGCAAATCAGCCAGAGCAAGCTAATTCCTCTGCCACAACTGCGTCTGTGGATGTCGCCACTTCTGTACTTGCTGGTCTCTCCGCAACTGAGTTGGCTGCTGCCAAAGCTGTGAATGTCGACCTCTCAGTGGTCAGTTTTCCCAGGTACAATGCGGTGAGTGGAAAATTTGTTCGCCCTCCCGAAGGTTTCTGGCACTAGTCGTACCATGCGTTTGTTCTCGGCTAATGCAGTTGGATCAGAAGGAACATTCGGCTCGCTTCTGATGCCTCACGGTGCTTACTCTGCAAGCCCTCGACCATGACCCTACTTGTTGTCCGTTGTCGTCAGAGCCCATCTCGCTCGCAATCCTGGACTACCTGCTCGGTTTACTAATTTTGCTATGTCCTGAGTTTTTATTTTTTATGTTTCTGTTTTCTTTCTCTATTCACGAGGGCGTGAATTTTTGGTAGGAGGAGGATAGTGTAGCATGGCTACTTTATGACACGTAATTTGTATACACATAAATAGTACACCGTAGGAATGCATGGATAGCAGTGCGCATACTCACACTGCCTGGTCTTCTTCTTCTCCTTGTGAGACAATGAACGAATGATAACTACTTACGTAACAACAAGTATGTGCTTTGAGTGCTGAGAGTATACGAGTTACAATACGTGCGAGTCCAGGATGAAATGTTAGGCCTCGGTCACACTACGGCAAGTTTGAAGCTGGACGCAGCGTCAAGCCTCAGCACTTGACGCAGACGCGGGGTCACAGGGTGTTTGTTTTTTTGGAGCTCATGACTGCCGCGGCCTGACACATTTGTCTACGTCAAAAATCACCAGGGAAACTCAATGACGACACGGATTCCCACGGAAACCGGCCTTTTGCATATGATACAAAAAATTGTCGGACAAAGTTTTCAAATTTTTTCATTGATTTTTGATTACAAGAAGACGAAAGGTCCAAGCGTGCACAATGGTTGTCGTTTCTTTCCGAATTTGAAGCCATTTTCAGTTGTAGTGTCATGGATCAGGCAAGAAAAGTCCGCATCGCAGCTGTGTTTCTCCTGACTTCGTCATACTGGTTGTCCTTTTTGGGGCTCTTGACGACAACACAAAGTCAACAGGCTCCAGTTGGCCGATGACCCACTCAAACAACTGGTCCTTTCTCGACATCATTTTCTTCTCAGAAAACGCCTCGCTCTTCCGCCAGGTTCGGAGCAGAGCAGTCTCGGCCTCGTAGGTCCACGGACTCATCTCGGAAAAAAAGGAACAAAACAAACCTTGAAGAGACGATTGTCGAATGACTGCTCAACTCAAGCAACTGTCTTGAAACTAATTTTACTTGAAAGACACTGTTTTTCCGCCAAGCGTCACTCCCATCAGCGTCAACGCAGCCGATTTCCCCACGTCAGACGCAGCAGCGCCTGACGCTCAAACTTCCCGCATTTGCGTCAGTTGCCATGGAAAAGCTCATGATTCTGACGCTGACGCAGCATTTTTGCCGTAGTGTGACCGAGGCCTAAGCAAACCAGCATGCCAGGTCTGATCTTCTACTTTGTTGTACATCGCACTGCACTTGAACGACTCGATTTGATTCCCGCCCCCTGCTGAAAACTAGCTGGGAAGCGACATGGTGTGTGTGTGGGGGGGGGGGGTCAACGATACTTTACGACATAAGCCGCACTTTGAAAACTCAAAATTCACCCAAAAGGCGGGGGCGGGGGCGGGGAGTACGGCTTACACTCTGATGATGAAATTAACGATGATCAATTGGGCAGATGTCTGTATTTCTTGCCAATAGATGGGCTGCGGCTTATACTCTAGTGCTGTTTATACTCCTCAGAATATTATGCTAACTCCTGTATTATCAGCATGCACCCATAAATTGATATTGATGAATCAAGTGCCAACGGTTGAAATATTTGCTATTCAATACCGTAAAAGGCACACTAGATCGTCCACTATTTCTAGTAATTAACCTTTCTTTGTGGAACTGCATTTTTATATACAATGGACTTACTGATCTTGCACACGACCGGCCGCGCCAAGTTACATGGCCTGACGACAACAGCGCCGCTCGACATGTTCATGTAGGGGCAACCTTCTCCGTCCCTGTTGCTGCTGCTGCTGTTGTACACATGTATTTCCAGGTTATCTCGGGCCGGGGATGGCGGTTCAGGGCTGTGCAGGGTGTGCGACTGCTGGGGCTCACTCAACAGACTCTGCACACACTTTAGTTCATGGTAGTCGTCTCGAAGAACAGAACCTCCGAGATTGCTGCAGACCTCGTGGGCGTGATGAGACCCGAAGGCAATCGTATGAAGAAGAAACAGATGGAACCGGTTGTTACTCCAGCAAGTTGTGTTTGGGAAGCCTTTGTCTGTAGCCACACAACACACAGATAATTATATCTAACTCACAAGCAATGAACTAAATATTTTTTGTACCGGTATTTCAACTTCCGGTATTTCAACTTGGGAATGACAATCAACCCGTGCCTGATGATAAGTAACATCACAATAATGAGCTCAAATGTGGCATTTCTAGTCACTCTCGATTTTGTAACTCAGGCCAGTTGGTATTATTGAGATTTCAGCCTGGCCCAATGTTCCAGAAAATGAAACGGGTCTTTGAAAAAGGCGGCCAGGGTGGCTCACTTAAATCCGCCTGGGAGCATTAGAAGCAAAATGAACAAGATCAGAGATTTGGCACTATCCGGTGATCATTGATTGAAGCATGCATAGAACTCCATTTCCCAGGCAGTTCTCCAGGCTGGCCAATCGCAATCATAATGTGAGAATCACAATGACCACACAAACATTCACATCGATTCTTTACACAAGATGTTATCGTTAAGAGCACTACCCATAACATGATCACTTTCCATTCAAGTTGAGTCACATGGCAAAGATTTGAAGCCAGGCGTAGCACCTCTGATGGAGGTGGTCTGCCAGGAGGGGGATCTGGGGGGGGAAGGGATCCGCGGGTCTCCGCTGTGAATATTAATTTTTACAATTAAAGTGCAAAAGTCTGCATTCTGGGCACTTTTGGCATTGCATTAAAAAAAACAGTGGTCCGGCCAAAGGCAGACCGGCCGGACCGGCTGCTACGCCCCCGTCAATAGGCCCACAGGTCAATGACTTACTGAGATTCCTCCCGCATATCGGAGTGAAGCGTTTTGGGCCAGCACCACGTCCATCACATTGTGTTAAAGCAAAGTAATTCTGGGCATTGTAATAAGCGCATTTATGCCCATTGTCGTGTGCTGGCCTGAACATCAGATCTCTACCCATGGCGAAGCCTATATCCCTAAACGACGCGGAATCCACCAATTTCGTATGGCCCAAGTGAAATTCTTGCTGTACCATGCCTTGAAGTATATCATTACAATGAGCTAGCTGATCATCGTTCAAGATGTGTGCATCCAGTCTTTGACACCTGTGTTCTGCTTCCTGCCAGGTTTTATTGCTATCGGCAAAACCAACCCATATTTCTGAGCCATAATTGCATTTAAGCCAATTCTCATCTGCAATACCACATGCAAACACACACATACACAAAACACACACACACGCTCACACACACACACACACGCGCACACACATGCATGCACACACACATGCACACACACACATGCACACATGCACACACACACACACACACACACACACACACACACACACACCTCAGACCTCAGACCTGCCCATCGCGGAAGCGATGATAGCGAACAGCTATGTTAGACATAGCAACTTGTGCTGGGATTACACCATTCAACAGCTTGCAAGGCTGATGAATTGACCGCCACTATTTTTAGCCTGGTATCCACCACACAGCTGTTTGAAGTGACTTTTTCTGGCCAGTGAATCCCTATTTTTCATTTTTCCATTTTTTCTTTTTTCTTTTTTTCTACACACACACACACCACACCACATACTCCGGCATACACTGGCTGTTGGTAATCACCCAGGAGAATGAAAGAAAAGTCAGGAAGAGACCGAGAAAGAGAAGAAAGACGTGTGCGACCATAATCGTCGGGAATTGAACCCGCAACCTCTCGATTGGAAATCGACTGCACATACCACTGCACCATATGGGACACACACACACACACACACACACACACACACACACACACACACACACACACACACACACACACACACAGACACACACAGACACACACAGACACACACACAGACACACACACACACACACATACACATACACACACACACAACCAGTGGAAACAGATCATACTTTTAAATATAGAGGGTACTCACATTGGAGCTAAGTCTCCGCAACCAATGTTTGGACCTCACACTTCTTACATCTGCGACTGTTCACTGAAAATACTTCATTGTGTCACAGTCGTTTTGTACAGTTTATCCCCGATGGAATATGCGACTATGTTGCCATAGTGCTCCAACCTAAAAAGCATAAACCAGCAATCGTGAGCCCCCAGAGTGGTTGCCCGAAATTGGGAAGTGGTCTAGCTCTCATGTTGGAACAAAGCATGCAGAAATAGTTGTGTGATACAGTGTGATACAGTCAGCCACCCAATACCTTCGCAATGGCTACAGTTTCAGCCAACGGCCACACAGTGTTTTGTAAGACTTAGGTTTTCTACGTTAAAGTGATGCTTTAAAACCCTTTACACAGGGAAACGAAGGTCCATAGGTCGTGCATGCAAGAAGGAAATACAAATCCATCCAAACACACACACACACACACACACACACACACACACACACACACACACACAGACATCCTCCTGGAAAAACGTACTGTTGTTCTCAGTAGTAGCAGCGGTATTGCACCCAGTGGCCACTAGCAGAGCTAGAAAATATAGTCCGATCTGCAAAGCCATGTCCTGCGATGGCCTTTGTTTCTCTGGGCATGAAACACAGCATACCGACTTGTTATGGCGATCCAAATAGACCAAAAGAAGCGTATGTATGTACAACAGTTCACAGAAAAACTACAACAGGCGATCTGTACATATCGCGGTGTTTCATACACTCCAACCAAAGGAAGTGAGCCAGGTAGTGGTGTTGTTGCTGTACATCTTCAAATGGTGGGACAAAACTTACCTTATTGTTATAGTGATATAGTTATAGTATTGTGGCGCTGACTGGTTGAACTGAAAACGAATATTCTTCGGACGGGTTAGTTGTTGTTGGTCCTCAATAGAAACAGGGTGAATCGAGGGCTGAACGTTGATAGAAGCTCCTCGCGGAGACTTTTAGACGGGAAGAGTGAGAAAAGACGTTCGTACAGATACTAGTACTAGTAGTAGTAGACAAGGAGAATGTTTGATCAGCCCTTCGAGGCCGTCCGTAGGGATATGAGTATGAAAGCATTCGCAGTGCGATATTTCAGCACAAGTTTAGCCATACTGCAGTGCGCCCAGCGCACCGATGGAAACCGGAAAAACAGCCTTTGAACGGACCCCAGTCACCCCACCCTATCTTCCATCCAGTTCGCCTCCGCCTTGGAGTTTGGGGAACCTGCGTCCTGAATGATCACCGGTGCACCAAATCGACTGGATTTGTATGGATGCCGGAACCGCTCGCGGACAGGGGCAGGTTAAGTAGGCCCGATGTGGACACACGTGTCCTTATTTTCTCGTGGTTGATCTCCGTGCGCGGGGAGCGTTTTTGAGTGCGCGCTCGAATTGGGAGTAGGAGGAACGTCAACCTTCCTTTTTGGCGTCTCGCCCTCGTGGAACTAGAAGTACTACTAGAAACATGCGAACACAGCCATGGAGTTGTCAACTACCGGCGCAGGTGGTTGATGACTCCCTGATAACAGCACCGTTTTTCTTGTCCTTTCTTCTCTTTCTTAGTCCTTTTCCCTTTCTCTGTCTGATCATAAGGATTGTGTCATAACAAAATTAAAAAAACATCTGGATATGAACAGAGCACCAAAACGGCTGTACTCCCTATATGCCAGCTGCACTCGGGTGCAAGTGCGCCAGATACAGGAGGTAGCGAAGCCGACCACAGTCCCACAACATTGTAATTGTACAAACTTAGAAACCAGAACGGAGTTCCGGAGCTCGAATGAACCCCATATTACAGCTAACCACGCACGCGCACAGCTCAATAGTTCACAGCACTCGCATAGTTGTGGTTGCAAATAGTTGCTCTTCTGCTTTAGTTATTTATTACTTGTAAAGAAACGTATTTTATGAAACATGCGGCAAGTAACGAATGAATGACCATGACTCATGAAGTAGAGAGTCAGTCCAGTGCTAGTGGCTACTGCCCGTCACAGTCGTCAAGTGACGACGGGCAGTGGAATCCGTTCCTGCCCGTCGTCATTTGACGACGGGCAGTGGATCCAGTCCCATCACCTTTGAGCAGGCAGGATCGCGCTTTCCAGCCCGCGCTGTTTGATCTGTCATGGGGCTGTTAAGTGATGACGTCACAGTTCCTTCGATACGCATAACAACGATCCCACTGGGGACAAACAAAAGTAGCGTCGTCTCCACCGAACCAGTTGTCAGTGGCAACATATAGGAATCGTGTACATTTCTTCGTTTCTTCTTTGCTGTTTTCAGTGAGTGTTTTGTTTTCTCTTCGTCCTTTATCTCGACGATGTTGTCGTGCTCATTACCTTACTGAGACGTCTCTTGTGACTGTAGCCAGTGTCACGGAGGATTTTATTGGCGTGACAAGGTAGATCGCCGAGATCGAGCGTGAAAAACGCTCTGCATTAGTAGCTCCTGTAGAATGTTTTCTGGGTTGGCGTATCCATGGTCAACAAAACCAAGGTGCAAGACAGCATGAGAGATCGTGTAAACGATGTGAACTCCAAAAGGTAAGCTCCTGAACAAGTGGAAAGATATGGGTATTTACAAACTCTCTCTTCATCCATCGATTGCCGCTATGCATTGCATTTTGTCTTCACAGATAATCTGGCCAAATTTATTGTAAATAGAGAGTGCAATCGTGCTTGGGGCCCATCCCAATGTCATCACATGGCTGTGGTGACTAGTCTATATCTGGGAGAATTTTTCCTCGACTGATACGGAGTGCAGGTGGATCGATTATGAGAAATGCGAACATGTGAAGTAAGTAATTAGTTGTGTCGAAGAAATGTGCAATAAAATAAAATTTACTTTACACTCAAACATACACTGTAGATGTACATGTAACATCATGATAATGATTCCATCTTCATTGTCCCGCAACTGGTACACCATACGCACCGAATACATGGTGTGTGTGTGTGCGCGCGCGCGCGCAAGCGCGCGCATGTACATGCACACACTCTCATGCGTGGCCGAGTCGGCCAGATGAACAGACCATGCATCTGCACGAGGTGTCCGTAATGTCATTGGAACGCTGTACTTTATGACTTTATTCCAAATGAGTATGTCTTGCCCCTGACGAATGGAGTTGTGTCTGTGCTCAGCGGGTATCGGGCTACGACGCAACACTGCAATCAGCGCTGCAATTAAAAAGAGCACTGCATGGATTATTTTGACTAACTTCCTTTGCGTTTACTTGGTTGAGCCCGTGGTTTCATTTCTGTGTTCTGTCATGATTGGCCTCTGGAAATAATCAGAGTGGATGTCATTTTGCCATATATGTGTGCCCTGTGCGACAGGTTCAAGGCTAGATGCACTTCACATTCGGCGGGCGATCTCAGCGTCTGGGACCTGATGAAGTCTTGGTTGGATGATTATTCAAGCCTGATACTACTCGACACACCAATGTTCATGTCTATGTAATTTTTTCAGAGCTGCACTATTTACGTGTTGATGCTTACTTCGGTGTTAACGTGTTTCCCCCGGATCGTTTCTATCATCATGATCGTGTGTTCTTGGGCTGAGCGAGCACATGCACAAGTGTGCAGCTATAACCCTGTGTATCTTTGGTTACACTTTGTTCTGCAATGCATGTACCTTGTAACATTATGTGCTTGCACTGCTTTTTCTGGCCTGCGTACTTCAGGACTATTCAGTGCATTAGACCCAGGTTTGTTTGGTTGCCGGATGATCTCTTGTTGCGTCGCTCTGTATTTGTATTCATCAATTTTTGGGCTTGAGAATTGAGCTATTGTGTGGTTCCCAATATGAAAACATCATGCTGGTGCTCTGTGTTTCGATTATCGACTGTCGGAGCAGTCATGCATTTATTAGCAGAACGGTCAATACTGTAGTCTTTTCACGTGTTTGTCTTTTTTGTGTTTTCGCCGGGGGTATTAGCGGTAACGTTGCACACAGAATGACAGTGTTGCATCACTGGACGACCCTGCCTCCGCATCTGACTTAATTTCCCCAGGATTTTGTGCAGTTACACCAGACAGCCACTTCCTGTAAACACGCAAACAGCAAAAGAAGAGATCCCGCAAATCAGGAAAAACCATTGTGGAAAATATAGAGTAGATCATACAACATTCAATAATCTGGAGTAATTACAGTGAGACAAACACTTCAAACAGTGCTCTCTCTCTGTCTCCATCCTTCCAAAAATACCCTATGACAATTCCCTAGAATTATTTTATTTTATATTCTTAGGACATCATTAAGAACATAATAAATTCTTCCATGGGTCTTCGATCACCACGGACGGCGAAAATATATCTAAGTCATGCAATTTACGGGAGGTGCGAGCTGTCATGGATATTGAGGCTGATATTGTGCCAGCGTGAGGGCAGAGACAGAAAGAAGACACTGATTTCTTGAACAACTCACCTATATATAATCGAATCCACAAGGAGCGCTCATACTTTGATCCATCAGGACGCGAAACATCTTCAAAGCACTCTCAAACACGGAGTTTTACTGTGGGCAGCCAATTTCACAGCCATCATGAAGGCACTCGACGACTACAGGAATTTTGTAGAGGAAAGAACAAGGAGTAAAGAGCGACAACAATCGCTTGAAGAAAAAGCAAAGAAAAACTGCTGTCTCTCCAGTCATTTAGATGCTGTTGCCCTTGACATCTGGTTCCATCCAGAGGACGCGACTTTTGTTTGTCCCCAGTGCTCTCCGTTGCTATGCGTATCGAAGGAGCCGTGACGTCACACTTAACAGCCCCATTGGTCCACTCCAAGGCGAAAATCACGTGACATACGGGAATAGCAGGTCGCACGGGGGGGGGGGGGAGCTCTTTGTGGGCCCTGCACTAGACGGATCCAAATTCAACATAGACACCCCCGGAAGGAACAGAGTCAGCGCACCCGAAAACCCCAACCAGCGACGGGGGAGACTGGAAAACACAGAGCGATACCCGATCCCCTAGGCCCTGCGGACCCAACTTAGATCCCTCTGAGTTCCACCTTGAGTCCAACGCTACCATTACATCCCTTATTCCCAGCACACCTCCCTTTAGAATCACTGATGCCGCCCACGACGACATGGTCTCCAGAGTTGCCTCTAAGGGCCTGATCACACTGCGTTCAAAAGTCGCGTTTGCGTCTGCGTTTTCTTAGGTTTTTGACGGTCGCCTAGGAATTGCCATCACGTGACGTTATCGCGAGCGCGTTGGTTTCCAGACGCACAGTATCTCTCACGAGCTCCACCACTTCTTAGCACTATAGTATAAGACATGATCGCTTCTCCATTGGCTGCTCTCCATTGCGACTTTGATGCAGGGCTGTGGCTGAATAGTGGGCGTATCAAATATATTCCCTTGCTTATCCATGTAGTGAGAGGTGAAACAATTATTGCTGGTGATCATTTGGATGCTGGAAGCTTATCATGGAAATTGGTATTCCTGCCTGTAGACAAGCTGTCACTGCTTCTACTCTGTGAAAAATGTCTTCATCTGAAACAGCTCACGTAAGAACAGTTCGACCTAGACGATCTCAGATCGAGATCCCTCCCAATCGCGGAAATCCTGATACCACGTGGTCAGAAGTTACTTTGCCGCTCTACATCCTCTGCTTGCGCTGTCTTCTTCTCCTGAGGTTGCGTGGAGGCAAATGGTTGACCACAATACTCTTCTTTTCTGATAGCACTTGACTGTAGGCCTTGCATTATAATCGTCCACGACGAACTGTACGTGCTTCATCAGGAAAGTATGACACGCGCTGCTGAGCACTAAAATCGACTTGGTACCTCGTCCATGAGAAATTCTAGTTCTTTTCGAGCCTGCTGAGCTGGACTCGGAAAAGGCAGTTATTTGGAACAAGCTCTTTCTGCTTATAGCCGCTCCTTCATCCAGGTCCAAATTTCAGTGTATACTTCAGTATCGCTAAAGATGCCATGGCCAGAGCCTATGGCCAGAGCCTATTGCATAATAGGAAGACTCCTCTTCGTATGTTTGATATTCACTTCGCGTACGGCTAGTCTCCTCCATGGCTCTCCATGATTAAGGTAGCGTACACATGCTATACTAATTAAACCGTACATGTACACTGTACATCTGTATTGATTCCTTTATAACTTCGAGATCCAGGAAAGAAATCTAATGAAAATTAATGTTCTGTACTCTACCTTTAGACAGCACAGATACAGTGCAAAAAGCAAACCTAGACCAGAAGCGTGCCCCTGCCTGTGGCCAGACTTGACCAATGTGGCCTTCTAAATCATGCACCGTGTGCACCATACAGAACACATTGCATGGTAAAAGATACCAATTCCTGTGTATTGATGTTCTATCGTCCACTTCGGAGGGCACTAACCTAAGAACACCACGAGAAACTCCATGAATCTCACCAGAGGCCAAAACATTCATACGGGAGTGTAAGAATACGCAAAACCAGCAATTTAAGAAGCAGGCAGAAAACAATCCAAGTATCAGCTAGTCGACAGTGGAGAGGCAGGTTAGTGCCCCAGACAATCCAGCAAGGAATCAAAAATTCATACTATCAGTATGTACATAAAGAAAACAATATCCATAGAGATACGCTGCACGAAAGAGTCCTAATATGGAGAAAATGAACTCATCAAAATAATTATTATTGGACAGTTTTCCTGCATATTGGCAGCTACCAGTCACACTAAAAACAGGCAATCAAGCAATGATTGCATACGCATCAATGGAGGATGCTGTGAGGCATAGGAGGGGAGCTCCAAGGTCCTGTTTAGTCACCACCCTCCAGCAAGACGTCAAGTTCACCGCTGTCGCATTGAAGACGAGCCGGCACCTCGAAACCCTAAGAAGTTGTGCAGTTGACCGGCAGAAGTGGAGTAACATTTGTTCTGCGGGGGTGTGAACACACATGACCGGCTGTGGTTTTGGTGTGGACGCACATGACTAACTGTGATGACCAATGATTTCATTTCATTTATCTTATTTTTTTATTTTTCTAAGAAAGAGCTTTGCTGATGTGGTGTATTGGAACTCATGTGAAATCTACACCGTGATTGTTTTCGTCAAATATCATATCTTCTCTTTTCTCTCTCTGCCGCGGTGCTTTTTGTCACTCCATTGTCGTGAGTTCCCTTTGGAACGTAGACGAGAATTATTATTATTATTATTAGTCAAACTAAAACATACCAGTAGTCATCGGCGGATAATGCCGGCAAAATTTTGAGCATAATCACGGCTTTCTGAAAAAAAATAGCATCGCCGAGCATATTTTAGTTGATCCTTCAGTAGTGTCCAGCGGATAATGCCGGCATTATATTCGGCATTATGAGACTATCCGAGCATCAGAGCATTATAGAGCATTATAAAGGAACATGACGAGCATTATGTGAGGTTTGAGCGGCATAACGAGTTTCATAGTGGATAATGTCAGGATATCTCAGGTTTTTGGCAACAATCGGCTAAAGCCATGAGGTGCAACGCCATGTATTGTACCGGCACATGACTTTATGATTTTGTAGACACGTAACACCTTTAGCACTAATGCTACATTTACCTGACTACATACATGTAATGCCATTGCTACATAAAGTCTTTATGTAGCAATGCAGTCAGGTACATGTACATGTACAGGTGATGTAGCATGCCCAACGTTGCAACTACACTGCGACTGTTACACAAACTCTGTAACGATGATTTACGAAGAGTTCTTTTTTTTAAACCACACAGTAGACTACAAGAGTCAAGACAGTGTAGACTGCACTTACCTCTACTCTAGCTCTACTCTACAAAAAGCCGTCAGATGCGAAAACAGACCTTATGGGAAAAAAATCATATTTGTGTTAGTGATACTATCTGAAAGCCAGGAGCATCAGGAGTCGTATGCAAAAAACTAGAGTTGATTTGGACCAAGGGAAGTAAAGTTATAGCCTCTACAATAGGAGACCGTTTCAAATTGCATCTCAATTTTGGGTGCAATACCAACAATTGTTTCACCAACTTTGTAGAATATTTCCTGTTTCCTTTGACCGATTTCCACAAACTTGGGCTTTCTGGAAAGCTCTGGCGACGAGCAACCCGTTGGGCCCAAATCCGATAGCAAATAAAGCACAGCACCAGCGCAACAAGCTGCAGACATCGCTTCAGCGCTGGACTTGCGCCGTCACACGAAAATCGCTCGCCATTTCCATCTCCATTATTCCAGGACGCCCAATTTTTTTCGTGAAGATGCACATAGAGCTTCCAAGACGTCTGATATGAGCCTGTTGCCGAGATCGTAGGTCGCTTGAAAAGGGGGAAACCCCTGGTCTGGATCGTTTGATTTGCACGTAGAAATGCAAAGTGCCGTGACGTATCTTGCAGGCTTCGCAGCTGGGGAACGCAGGAGTTTTCTCTTCGATTTACATACTTGGATTGTCCCGAAAGACCGATATTTGACTGAAATACGAAGGTTTGTAGCTTGGTTGTCCAGGCGCACCAGTGCGTAAACTCGCCAACTTTCAAGTGCATTTTTCTGCGCTGGGCAGTGTTTCCCATAAGGTCGGTTTTCGCATCTGACGGCTCCTCTACGCTACACTCAGGCTACAGATGCATTCCACTGGCCTTAGGCTTTGACGGATTATGCTAATATTTTCGTGAAATTATGCTTTTCGCTTTGCTGAAAAAATTGCAGAATTATGCTATTTTTATGCTAAAAGTTATCATATTATGCCGCATTATGCTCACATATGCTGCTAATGTACATGTATAATGATGGTTCTGTGCAAAATAACAGGGGATTTTTTTGTATAGGGCGTTGTACTGTTCAACGGGGTCTACGCACCGTCCGACCTACAATTGTAGCTACGACCGTCACTGATTGTAGTGGACTGGACATGTTATCAAGGGAGTCGTAAACCCACATGTATGACTTCCTGGTGCATATACATGTACATGTACTTGTATTTGTACGTACTTGTAGAACATGTACAACTCTATGGAATTATTTGATGCGAACAGACGGATTATTCCATTATTTATGCAATTTGTATGCAATTTGCCTCGAATTATGCGATTATTCGATTTTGGTAGGAATTATGCTAAAATTTAGCATAATTCCTACCAAAATCGAATAATCGCATAATTCGAGGCAAATTGCATACAAATTGCATAAATAATGGAATAATCCGTCTATGTTAGCATAATCCGTCAAGGCCTAACTGGCCTGCGTCATGATTGTGTCATCGTCAGGCTAGGGCTTGTACTTGTACTCTTGTACTTGTAGTTGTACTAACTAACTAAGTAAGTAGTACCAAGAGTACATAACCCCCCAGAGTGTGCAACGCCGATCCAGCTCTGTGTAGGGTCTTGGTCGAGCGGAATCGGATCTTCTGATGTCATGCGTACACTTCACACCAGCGCAAGGCCGGTCTCGAGGCAGGGCACCATTGTTTTTGATCCAAGAGTACCCGCGACTCCCCGGGTTCCCCTCAGATGTGTACGGTATTATGACGCAAAGATCCGATTCCGCTCGACCAAGACCCTATGCAGAGCTGGATCAGGCGTTGCACACTCTGGGGGGTTATGTACTCTTGGTAGTACTAGTAGTAGGTCAAGCGGCCGTTTGCTGTGCTAGTAGTATCTGGTACAGTGACAGTGTATACCTATTATTTAACCTTTATGTATTACAGTAAATACTGTAGTTCAAAACTAATACATGTATTAGATAAAACCTGTTATAAAAATACAATAATATTCGCCGGATCAAACTTGTTATAGTTCACGCATATTGTTTGTGTATACCTGTACTGTTGTGCAATGCACAGGGCTTGAAAGAAGTGCTACGTCACAGCATAGCAACAATTTCAAAAATTAAAAAACTGGATCCGCTTGGATCCAGTTTTTGTATGGATCCAAGCACATTTCAAGCGGTCTTACTCACACTCACAGCAAGGTGATGACTGATGTAGGCAGTGAAACTGACTGATTTGGCTACTGGGGGCGGGGTGACAACTGGTGGCGAAGTAAAAGTTACGCCTGCATACGACATGAGTAGGTTGCTATGCACCCACATACTGCACTGAGGCAATAGCAAAGTCACACCTTAGTGGATCCAAAATAGAAATCTGATGTCAACTTACTACTCCCTGGCCGTTTTTGACGTCATCACTTTCAAGATAGTATTGTACGCTGGCACTTGTCCTTGTTTCGTCGAGCGTGGGCACTGTACGAGGGCACTGTACGCGGGCACTGTACTAGTACACATGGTACATGTACTAAGTAATAATTATTAATAATCTAGTCTAGTACTGCGGGTAGGTGCTACCTGTATCTGCAGCACTTGCACTGGCGGTAGACAGTGGTACTTCTTTGCACTGGTTGGTTTATAACCGTCGTGGCTAGATCAAGGTACTCCACACTCTTGATCTCCGTCTAGAAGTAGAACATACTTCTTGCTCCCTTAGCCTTTTACCTAGTCGATGTTGGTGTTTGAGACTCCCGCTATGGCCGCGTTATGGGACCGTGCAGTGAAGACTATCATGGCAGTGACTGGGGCAATCGCAGGCACGACGACCTCTGCGGAACCGCCGCCACTGGAGAAAGTATTGGGCGCTGAGGACGATTGTTGGCTGCGCGTCATGCTACGCCAAAGCGTTGGATTGGATTGGATTGGATTTTTATTTATAGTGGTGACTATAACAGACAATTGCCTAATAACAATAGACCCACTCGAGGGAAAGATGCAAAAAGATATGAATAATTAATATAATAATAGACTACCGGTATTGGATAGGTGATCATGTTCGCATTTTGCATAGCTGAAAGTCATAATTACTAGCGTGAAAAAGCAAGGCATTGGGGTAACAGTTTCTTAAAACGGGCGGAGTTATCCACACAGCGAGCTAGAGGGTGCAAATCATTCCACAGCTTAGCACATTGGAAGGAAGCGCCATGACGGGCAAAGGCAGTTCTGAGCATGGGCAACTTAAGAGTGCGTGATACAAGGCTGCGCGTTGCAAGACCATTATTTAAACGCTCGAACATTTGACTTAATGTGACACTACAGCGGCCTTCCAAACAGCGCCACGTCAGATACAGTAATTTCTTGCAATACATGGTTGCCAAACGATCTAGACCAAGTCTCGCAAATAAAGGGCTTGATGGGCTACAAAAACCAGTATCGTACACTGAACGCAAAGCTCGCTTTAGCATTCGTTCAAGCCTACCTAACTGGGTTAAGGAAAGGCCAGCAGAAAAACAATTTGATGCATATAGAAAATCTGGCAACACTAGGCACTTTACGAAGGTTTCTCGGCAAGTCAGCGGAATATTGTGTCGATTTCGGAACAGAATACCAATTTTACTGGCTAGTTTGGAGACCATAGAATCAACTTGAGTGCTCCAAGAAAGATCCTGGTCCAAATGTATTCCAAGGTACTTTGCACATGTCACTTGCTTGAGCTGCACTCCATGGCAGTAGACTGCAAATTGGTGGTCAGTAATATGTGGCGTAGACAGGAAGAGCACTTGTGTCTTCCGAGCATTTAGAATTAAATTGCGGTTTGACAGCCAGGTACTAATGGCTGAGACAGCTGCAGACAGGGAGTTGCTAAGCGCATTCTTCTGCGTACCGCAAACATACAATAGAATATCGTCAGCAAATTGAATAACTTTCACACAAAACTCGGAGACAATGGACTGGATCGAACGAACATAGAGTACAAAAAGCAGCGGACCAAGAACAGAGCCCTGGGGAACGCCACACATGCAGGGGAAAGGAGGGCTATAGTTCGCCATACGCTAAGCAACAATGGCCACGCGGGCCTGGCGGACCGTCTCTACACAGTGTCCAGCGCGAGAGACGAACAGATGATCAACAAATCTGACGACGTGCGACAGCTATTCGCTGTAGTCAAGGAGCTTATCGAGGACAACAAGACAGAGCTCCAACAGTTCACTGCCATGCTATTTCCTTTGGAGTGCAACCAAAGCGCCGCCGTGGACCTATCTGGCGTCTGGCGAGTTCTGCGCATGCATTTCTCCCGGTTGAAGCCCACCATTGCAAAACTACTGACAGCCGTCGCGTTTAGTGGATATGTAGCGCTGCATCTGGAGCAGCGTGGAATCGGGTTCGTCAAGCATGTTGTGCGTGCGCTGGAAGATGGGATGGTTAAGTTTCTGCACGAGTTTTATGGACGTCTCGAAGCCCAGGTACGTGGAATTTGTATGTTTGAATCATTTCGTTTCTGTCTTGGTGCGTTCTGACGCTCTCTAAATCCAATCTTTGTCATCCGCAGTCAGATGGCTTTGCGTGTGTTTGATGTACTCATGGCTTCTGATCTGTGGCTGTGAGACTGCGGCCAGGACGTAGTCGTTATCTGTTTTGAGGTTCCGTGCCTCATAGACAGGGGCGGATCCAGGAATTTTTCAGGGGGGGGGGGGGGGGGTTCAAATTTTTTCGAGTGCACAGAATTAAATTCGCTTCAAACTGTTTTCGGTTCGTTCACTACACCGGGAGTTGCAAAATCTTTATTGTCACGGTAGCCCTTGCATTGCTTGGTCAATAAGACAAGGGTAATAATGCGTTTAGAGCCTTACAAAGTACAAAGCTGCAGCACAGGCAGAAACTAAGGCCGTGACGGCAGCATTTTCCGAACTGACGGAAGGCGAAGTTCTCTGACTGTCCTCCGGCTGGGACTGCGTGTCGTCACATTCGCGTCGTACACGGCGGAACGAAGCCAAGCCCAATGCGGCAATGGCAACTGATCGGCCGCTCGCCTCTTTGGCAGACGTCGCGACATGGCAAACCACACGACAAACACAAACATTATCTTCGTACTGCGACGGAGGAAACCTACAGTCCAGCCAGCGCGAAATAAAACAAAACGACAAGGAAGGTAAGGAGGACAAGTGGCAGTTTCTCCACCTTTTGCTCCACCGCGACATGGCAAACTACACGACAAACACGAACATTATCTTCGTACTGCGACGGAGGAAACCTACAGTCCAGCCAGCGCGAAATAACACAACACGACAAGGAAGGTAAGGAGGACAAGTGGTAGTTTCTCCACCTTTTGCTCCACCGCGACATGGCAAACCACACGACAAACACAAACATTATCTTCGTACTGCGACGGAGGAAACCTACAGTCCAGCCAGCGCGAAATAAAACAAAACGACAAGGAAGGAGGTCAAGTGGCAGTTTTTCCACCTTTTGCTCCACCACTTGAACCAGGGAGTAGTACAATACCGGTATTGTACTACTCCCTGACTTGAACTGTCGATCGTTTCAAGTCACATGATACGCGCACAGACCCTTCAATAGACCAATCCCGAAAAGATTGTCTGGGTTCGAAAGGGGGCATGTCAACTGAGAGTACACTGTACAACACATACATGGCACTACCTGATCAGCATGCGGCACAGGACGTGTTTGATAGTTCGCGTGTGAATGCGAGGGTAAGTACACGGTTTTCTCGTTAGTTGCATGCAAGAGAGACGATGCGGCAGAAAGCAAAGCCCTTTGTAGTTTTCTCTCTCGCACTGGTAATGGTCTGCTGTTGGAGTTGAAATGCTAAGACATAATCCTTGTTTCGCTCTTCTGTGTAGTGTGAAGAGGTCAACGAACATGTAGAGCTCACTTTGATGAAGTAGGCACGGCTGTGAGCGCTGTGGCTCAAAGCTATAGGCCCTAAATCGTACGAGATATTTCGAGTGCTATTGCTTCGTCTTCGATGAGTCCTGCCTCTTTCCTGGCAGCTGCCCTCCTATAGGACCAACCACGAAGTGACTGTACTCATCTGCAGCCGATCAATGTTATATTGCACAAGAAAATATCGTTTTCGCCAAGCCAGTGCCCCGCCAAAGACCATCGCCGTGTCACACCGTCGGAACGAGTTCATGATGAGAAACGTCATTCGCGCGAGCGTGATGAAGAACTATTTCGAAAGACAACATAGTCTTTACCCGCGGGACGACAACTATGCGCACGTCCTGCAAGGGGAGAATGTCACCAGCGACATCAACGAAGACGACGGCAGTATTTCGGAAACCTGGAGTCAGCGGAGGTCGTCAAGCTCCTCCGCGACCCGGTACATGTACAGTATAGGTGACATGTCGACACGAGCGTGCGGAAACACAGCATACACTGTAGTAATGTTGCGAGAGTTTGCGGAAGGAGTCCAAGTCGGGAAATCCATCAGCTCCAAAAGCTACCTGTAGGTGGGCGATGAGACTCGACTCCAGCTTCAGACTACAACATTCAGGACTTGTAAATAGTTGAACTTTGTGAAGCAGCAGATATCAAGATCGAGAAGTTCGCTGAAATCGTAGCGGTCGCAGTACGTCAGCGCTATGTAGCTTGCATTTTTTTTTACGGAGAGTCGATCGCCACGCGAATGTTTCTCTCCTCACCGAGAGCTAGCTGGCCTCCAAACTCCGTCAGGGTCTGCCTAAGGTACCGAAGGTCCTTTGACTAGCTGCTGGCAGGACTCCATCAGATCCTTTAGCTTCAGCTCGGCGAGCAAAAGTCTCTCTCTCCTCCGCCATGAGCTGACACACACAAACTGAATACAAAACGATGCACTTCACACGTGCTGGCTTGCACGCGTGCCCCCTTTCACGAACCCAGACAATCTTTTCGGGATTGGTCTATTCGAACGGTACGCGTACAACAGTCCCGACCACTGCATGCATGCAGTGACCTAGTACCCGCACTGCCTGTACGTGACTACTGCATGCAGGATGCATGCCAGTGAAGTCTACTGGCTACGCTGCATGTACCATGATGTACGCTACACTTCGCTGGCTGCGCACGGGGATATCACAAAAAAATCGACTGGACCCATGGTCGAAATTATTTTAGGGGGTTCGTCCGAACGTGAACCCCCCCCCCCCCTGTATCCGCCCCTGATAGACAACCGGCACGCACCGTGCGGCAACAAATTTGAGATTGTAGCAATAAAAACTCCTTTATGGCAGCTTTCTAATATATAAAGTTATTGTGTTCTAGTTCTGGGTCCTTCCCCTATGAATAAAACTGCTTCCAAACTGCCTTGGACTCCATCTAAAAAGTAAGAAATTAACGAAATTTGATTGCCGAAAATTAAAATTTCCCACAAATGCTCACAATAATCACACACAGGATGAAAAGCGAGAAGACCTTTTCCCATCATGATCCTATTTCCCATGCGTGCATGTTGGTGCAGTACAAGTACAAGTGTCAGACTAACAAGTATTGAAAGCAGTATTTGATTGTCAAGTGTTGTGATTATTGTGAGGTTTTGTGTGAAATTTTAATTTTCGGCAATCACATTTCGGTAATTTCTTACTTTTTAGACGGAGTCCAAGGCAGTTTGGAAGCAAATTTATTTATAGGGGAAGGACCCAGGACTAGAACACAACCTTTTTTTAGAAAGCTGCCATAAAGCAGTTTTTATTGCTGTAATTTTTTTTATGTCACAAATCATGCAATGGAATGCCCTAAATGATCATTGATAGGGATATCAGCGAACGCACTGCGCAGCGTGTTCGCGCATGTCTTACGTCATACAAAAATCTATGAGGTGCAAGGCCGACAAGAAAAAATGACGATCGCTGAAATCATGTCTTGGGTCAGGCACAGTGCAGGCCGGCCAGGAGTAAAAAATAAAATCGACACTCGACAAGAAGACTGTTTGTTGGTTTGCTTGGCGCTCGATCCATTCAGGAAAGGATACATCAGGAGCTAATATTCTTCGGCGCCTATGACCGGTAAACGGTCTCAAGCAAAGACATGACAAAGGAAGAAGACGTTTGTAGCTGGATGGAGCTATGTTTGCACCAAAGAACAGTACTCGTTCTTCCTTGCGAACAGGCCACCTGGTGACCTCTGGTTGCGTCTGAAACTTACTTGTTGCTAGCAATGCCAAGAAAGTTTCCTAAAAGACAGCCATGACCAGAAATTACTTGGGCACAAGTCCTCGATGCGAGAACAAGTCACTGTCAAGTGTCATTCAAAACTTCAAAAGCGACACGCGTGCTATATGTATGTAAATGGAACCGGTGCCCAAGTAATCTTTCAATTATTTTCGCGCGAGCGCCTCCGTGGATTTCCTCCAATCTTGGCACTTGTACTCCACATAGCACGGCTGTTACGCAGTGGACATCTAACAAGATGGCGGCGAAAAGTTTGAAAACGCTGCGGATTTACTGAAATCCTATCGACTTAGTACAAAATGTATAGAATTATATAATTTCGCCGGATTTAGTACTTTCTTTCGGTAAAGTCGGTCTAAACCCAAATATTTTTTGAAACGACAAGGAAGTAAGAACAGAAGTCTTGCTGTCGAAAACATCAAGAAGAAGAATTATTATTGGAGGAAGTAGAAGTGAACAGTTAGACCTTACCTCTCTGGCTTTGCGTGTAGTCAGTGTTATGGCGGACTGGCTGGTTGATCTGCCTGCGATGGAGCAGTCCGCTGCCTCGATCGAACTTTGGGCCGTTGATCTGCAACGTCTGGCAGGGTGCATACGAGGTGTTGTTCTGCAACAGCATGCAGGCGCTCAAGCTCGCCGGGAATGGAACCGTATCTCTTCTCGAGCAGGTTGAACTCGGCGTGAATTCCTTCCGCGCCCTGTTCCGACAGTAGACCAAGCCCGACGTTCACTCTCCGCATCAGCGGCACAGTGTGTTCCTCAAGGAGGTGCAGCTTTGGAGTGATGTGACCTAAGCCTCTCTCCACCACCTCGCTCCGACATTTCTGTAAGAACGAGGCAATGGAGAGCTCCAATTGCTGCAGTTCCTCCTCTCCACATTTGTTGCAATGGCTGAAGGAAGATCTGCACGCTGCGTACTGGCTGAACAGGGACTTGTACCGCTCACTGACTACTTGAGCATCATTCCGCAGAGCTGGGCACCGATCTCCAATGACAATTGCTGGGGCCTCAGTGATAGCTGTGATCACGGCGGGCTTGAGGGCACGGTGGATATGGTTCCCTACGAAAGCACCGCCGTGATAGGCCTGCCGATGGATAATGTTCTTCTGCAGTACTGGCTCTATGGACGCTTCGCACGGGCCGAGAACATCCTTGCTGCGGCGCAACTTGGCCAGTTCGTCTTCAGCAATCTTCAGCTGTGAGCTACACTGCTCTGTGTCGGCCTGTGCTTGCTCAACCTCCCGTTGTAGCACGCCTGCGAGTGCTTCTATCGCCATGCCCTGTTGCTGGCCAAA